TGTGTTATCTCTGTTTGGTTTGATAAAACAATTTTCTTTCAGATGAACTCATCACTACTGTTTAAATTTGCTTTGCCAGTGACCCCAGGAGTTGCCACCTAAATGCTTTAGCACCTTTTCTTCTTTATGAGCAACATCTCCTGCCTGAGCTCTCTCGGGAGATGCACTGTGCTCTCCCTCCAAGCTGGTGCAACTGTGTGCATCATAGAAATGCCATTACCAAGGACTGTTGCAGAAAATGCTGCCAAGTCTCTTCCAATATTATTCTTGAATTTGATTTTCGTTTTCTACATTAGAATTCTTGATATTGCAGTATCTCAGAAAGAAAACATTTTCTTTCATAATATTTCTCCTAATGTCTATTAGCTAGAAACTAAATTTTGAACATGGTCTATGCCTAGCATAATACTGGCCATATATCACACCCTTTTGTTCAGAAACTTGCTACCGAAATTTGAAATACCTTTCAAACCATCATAGGTGTCAACTTCTTAGGTCAAAAACCTTCTCTAAATGCAACACTTTGATTTTTTTTTTTCAATATTGTCATCCTCAAATTTAATTCCTTCTCCCTTTCCCTGCTCTTTTAGACAGTTGGAGAACTGCAGACAAGGGGTGTGCTGGCCACGGGCGACTGGTCTCAGGAGGAAGAAGCAGCCGAGGTGCCAGGCGGGACAGGGCTGAGCACCGCTGCCGGTGTCGCGGGAGCCGCTGAGCGCAGGGCGGGCACGGCTCGGCGGCTGCAAGCCCTTCGGCCCGTGCCTGGGGCCGATGTAGGGCCAGAAAGTTTCCAAGGTGTGTATCAAAACAAAATTCAGGAGAGATCTAGTGATTTGCTACTGCTCCCATGAGGTGCCCATGGCCACAATTTCCTAAAAGCAGCAGAAATCATTATACGCTGCTGCTGCTGCTGCTTAGAGGTTGAAGGCAGCTGCGCCACTTGTCTTTGAACAGCTCTGAAGTGATGCGAAGTTCATCCAAGCCAAAGCTTCCCGGTGTTAACACAGCAAAAGTTTTACTGCTTCCAGCTTTTTTTGTAACAGAATGATTTCACTCAACCATAACTCACATGCTGCTCTCTATTGCTCTAATAAGAAGAATTTTCTAATTGTTTTCTGTAAAAGTACATCACATACTAATCCCAGAAGTATAAATATGAGGCGTAGCTTTATGCACATTCTGATCTTAAGAAAATGCCAGAAAATATTTATTCTGTCTCAAGTTATATTGCTATCATTAGTCACAAGATCCCTTTTCAGACCTCGAGACTTGTTTGGTATTTCATTTATGAGTTGTGATCAAATAATGGCATCCTCAGTAATAAATAACAGGGTGAGAGAGTTAAAAGCAAAACAAAAAAATGAAAGTTAAAAGCCACATCACTGTGGCCTGATTTAACAAAAACCACACTGTGGTTAAATATGTGGAACCATTAAGTTCTCCTGAAATCCAGTCAAATTACATTTACTTTAAATTATTTTTTTTCATCTGAAATGTTCAAGCCACACTCTCCAGAAGACATTCTGGCAAATGCACTGCAATGGCCCAGACCATACTATTATGGCCAAAGTCCCACCGTGAGCTCCAGGCTTTTGATAAAACCAAGACAAAACACATCAGGGAATGAAGTCACTGCCCCCTGTTTTGCACTATAAGGATGGAAATAAAGCAGATGGCCCAGACAGCGAATACACAAAAGCAAGCGATAGAGATCAAGAACAATTTGGGTTCTTGGATGGCAAATGACAAATTCATCCTGCTAGAAGATATTTAAGCTTTTTCATTTCCCTCTGTACACTATCAGCTTGTCTACAGCTGGGTGGGTGAAGCAGAGACAAAAACAAAGAGCTGCTCTAAGAAAACCAAGTTTTGTTTTGGAAAAAACAAACAACCGCAATCTGTGGCAGGTGCAGGTGTTCAGCACTTCCAGAAAAAAAATCACCAGCTTGTGAAACACTGGCTTTTGCTTTATTTACCATTCTACAAAATGCCTTAAGAACATGCCATTTTTCATGTCCAATCAATGACTGACACCTCTGGATCCTATTAGAAATAAACAATAGTAATACAAAGAAAATCTCCAGTTATTAAATGTACCATTTTGGATTTCATCAGCCATGGCAATATAGGGATTCATATGAAAATTCAAAATCCCATAACTTAAATATGTACTATTGGAAAAACACAACATAATTATTCACTTAGCTCCGTGCCATCGCCTATGTACATATAAATTAGTTGCCAATTTCAGTATGTATTTTAGATAAATGCTGATCTACTTAAAGAAATAGAGCATATCTGTATTTAATTACCTCTCCTCAGTGAATTAAAAATTTATTTTGTACTGCTTGCATTGCTTGTATCATAAATTTGTTATAGCATGAAAGGCTGGAATTAGCATAAGAAAATGACTCAGCCTGATTTTTTAAAAAAATTTTTGTAAAGAAACTAGCTCTTGTATTTTGTCTTTAGTTTCTTACCAATTTATTATTTTTTCTAAAGGATTGAAGAATGAACATGGGAAAAACCCAACCCTCTGTATCTCAAAAGATTTTTTAGTAAGTTTTGTTCTTTCAGAACAGATGACCATGGTTTTGCAGATCCTGGTGCTTACTAATATTAAAGGTACACAGTATTTTATGTTGCTTGAGCAACCTAAGGGAGAAAAAGGAGCAGGTACTTTTTGCACCTTTTAAAAGCTCATTTCAATTAGTAGATTACTGTTCAACTTTCATCTGTGCACAAAACTAGACCACTTATCTATTCAGCATAATTACAGCAATAGCACTCACAGTGGGTAGAAACAGAGTGATATAAAAGTGTCCTGAACCTGTAACTAATATTCACTCAGGGAATGGGAGTCCACAGCACCTGCATGGCTCTAAGAGGAGCTGTTCCACTTTATCTATTTGAATCTAAAATAAAAAACATATTTCTAACCATTGCACTCATACTGTGTAAATAAGACCTTCAGATGTCTTTACACTTCAGGGGGCCTCTACTGATGCTCTGTGATGGCTGGTACTTTTATACATTGCACACTGCTATGGGGTACAGTCATTTAGTTAATCAAAACAAGGGGTTTTGCTGGGGAAATGCTCTTCAGATACCCACAGAGAGGAAAATGCACACTCAGCTCATCTGTCAAAAATGTCACTGGTTTGCATAGGAAATTACAAATTACTGCCCAGACGATGCATAGAAATGTTAAAGAGGATGAGAATCCTCAGTTACAGCTTTTTGCAGTAAAAATTTATTCTGTTCAGAGAACAGATGTGAGCCATATCAGCAAAAGAAGCCTCTATTATGCTGTCTCTATTGCTGGTGCAGAGCTAGCAATGAACCTGAATGGCAAATGCTTCCAAAAGTGGGCAAATCCTCTTTCAAGGGGATTTTAGTACCTGCAGGTTGATTTAATCATTTTAAAAGGCAGCTCTGCCTCTGGAAGTTTGGAAAAGGGGCCAAATTCTTCGTTCTTTCAAGTTTTTATTCCTAATTGTGCAAACGTTGCCTCAGACTGGTTTGGTATAACTTCTACTGGAGCAAATTCAAGCGTTGAGGAGAAGGCAGCTCAGCAGCACCCCTCCTCCATCACCACCTTTAACATTCCCCTCCCTCCTGCTGGGGTAGGGCAGGGTGACAGAGACCCAAAGGGCAGCAGACCTCTCTCTGCACCGTTCTGTCTGTCAAGAATCCCGGCAGCCAGGAAAAATGAGCCAAAAGCTACCTCGCTCTAGTTTATTCCCCTAATTTTCACTGTCTCTACCCTGTGGGATCTCAGACCTTAGCACAAACATGTCACACCTACTTTTGCCAGTTGCAAAGGTTGAACTGTGGTCACAAAAGCTAAACTCAGACTTTCTATCAACATATTTTTAATACAAACATGTCTAAAATTCACCAGTGGACAAGAACCCCCCCAAAGCACCCAGTGAAAAAGGAAGATGTCAGGAAGCTGGTGGAAAACATCCTTTGCTTCACTGTGTCTTTGGTACCTGCTATGGTGCACAAAAGGACAAACCCATGTATGTCTGAATTGCACTTACTTGTCTCTCCAAAAGCATTAAAGAAAGATAACATCAAACGGTAAAAGTATAACCCAAAGCAAAGACACTTAGATGGGTTGATGAGAAGCTGATGACAAGTCTTGTTGTATTAGTTGGCAGGGAACAATGGTATTTTCTACAAACCTGCATCGGTGTCAAAGTGCACCCGTGATTCGCAGCCAAGCCAGCAAGATTTGTTTGTTAGGAAGTGTGTGGAGTGGATGGAAGGTCTACCACTGTGTTTGCTCAACCACAGGTACACAGGAGGTTGCTGAGTGCCTCATTTTTACAGTATCTGTAGCTTTTAGCTCCAGCTCAAGAAGGTTAGAGAGCATGGGCATAACCAGTGCTCTCACAAGTATGTATGTTTCCCAAAGATATTTATGCAGTTTTCCAATTTGGTCTCACTTGGGCCCTGTTTCCAGAAGTTTCTTTTAAAGTCCTCCTCCAGCTTTCATTGAAAGAGCGCACTCATGGTGGGCCCCATTCTCCTATTGAACCGTAAGTGCAAACACTGGTGGAACATCAAAGCCATCAGCCCAGCACATAATAAACACAGAGAACAAAAATACAAGTGAGAACAAGACTAACCATCAAATGAGAGCAGACGGGAGAAGAGGGAAAATAGTTAAGGAAGGAAGAAAGGAAAATATAAGGGGATGGTAGAAAAACAAAGGAAGGGGAAAAAAGGGGGACAAAAAATCACAGTCAATGTATGAAACACTACAGAGTCGCTCACAATCAAATCACAAGCATTATATGACAAAGTCGCACACCTTCCAGTCCTTCCACCGTATGTTGGTCTGGAGGCTTTCCACAATGATGGGAATGATTTTTGGAAAAGACAAGGATGGGAGTGAAAGCACCAGGAGAAGGGGAAAGAGGGAGGTTTATAAATATAGAGATATATATCAGAAATCCATTTACTGAATATTGTAACAGAGAGCAACTCACGGTGAATTTACGCTGGAGACTGACGAGCTGCGAGATACAGTACCTCGAGTTTGCTTTACAAAACTGCACATGCAAAAACAAAACAAACAAAGAAAACAAAAAGTGAGAAAAAAAAAAAAAAAAAAGAAGAGAACCCATAAAAGACATCGGGAGGAGACTCATACAGGCTGTGTCCTATCGAATGCAGACTGCAGCGTGCATCTTGGTAGGAGACCAGGCAAGCTTCAGAAAGTGTGGAAGCCACAGACACACCACCTTTTAGTTAACAGGGAAACAACCAAAGAATCAAAAATGGAACCAAAAGGGAAAAAAATTAAAAGGTGAACCAAAAGCCACACGATGATATTAGGACTTTATGCTTCCATATGCTATACTCACACGATGCAAGTCCTCCACAGAAGTCATCTTTAGGACTTCAGGGTAGAGGTCTTTGTAGGAACAGGTGGTGATTGCTTTTACAGCTGTGTTGCAAATAATTATTTCTAAGTGCGAGCAGGATGCTAATGCCTGCTCTGGCTCTGTGACACCAGGGAGAAGCCTTAGCACAGGCTGAAGGGAGGACCCTGGGCCTGGTGCCAGGCTGCTTCTCCTCTGTCCCTACCTCAAACTTGCTCTTCAGAAGCACCTACCTCTCTCCCCTGCCCGGCACGGGGACGTGCCTGAGCTCAGGCTGTCCGAACACGGCTCCCCATGTCAAAGAACCGTAGGTCTGCTGCAGCTTAAGCAGGGCGTTACACTTCATTGAAAGGAGCTTGTTTCAGTTCACAAGTAATTTTGTAGATTCTCCTCCATCCAGTGTTAGTATAAACACCATTATACGTGGGGGGTTCTAAATACAGAAATCTTTGAAATACACAGCAGAAGAGTTTATTCTTCCTTTGGCAGGGAATCTACAGAAAAACAGGATTCTAAATATCTTGATAGATCTTGGCTTCAGGCACTAATTTTTTCGTAGTTACAAACAATGATTTTTAAGAATCTACATCATCCAAAGAACCCTCCCCAAGACTGAAAATAAAATCCCTTCACCTCCTGAATTTGCCTTTTCAGTTGCAGTACTTTTTCTCCTGCTTCCATGAAAGTTTTCATCTGTTAACAATCAATGCTAGCAAACCAGAGGGTCCAGCTAAAAGCTAATGTTCTCTGAATAACATATAAGTAGTGTTTAAAATATATATTTACTTAAAATTAATGGATTTTTCTGAACAGAAATGTTGGCCCAGGTAAAGTATATAACACAACAATCCAGAGGTCAAGAAACCTGGAACAAATATAAGAAATTATGAAAGGCATCATAAAAGTTTTGCTTGGAACAAATAATCTGCTGAACAGTCAGGTAAAGTAGTTTCCTTAAACTTCAGTATTTCTATATTTGTACCATGCCAAATGAAATGGGAGCAACGTCAAAGTGGGGTTGGCATGCCTTCCTTGCTTGCCAAGAAAATTATTGTTTCCAGGTTGCTCAAATCAGGGACCTCTTTACACTTTGGCTGGATGCTGAACCCCTAGGATGGCAGCTAAAACCCGCAGAGAACAAGCCGTTGACTGCATAAATGTTTCAGCGTAGATAAGTAATTTCTTGGGCAAAACTGGTGGAAAACTTGTGATGGAGGAGAATGTACTGGCCTGCCCTAATTTACCTGAAAGTCAGCACCAACACTGTGCAATACCTGTGGAAATTTTGCTTTTAATTGCTGAAAGCAGATCTCAACATCCCTCCACAGGAGGCTTGAATGAACCTTTGCGTTTATCCCCGCTTTGTTTGGTGCAGTGCAGGACGGAGGCCATGCTCTAATCCTGCCAAGTATCCTTGTAAGCCGGCCAGCCAACATTATGCAAGTCCTGCAGCACTCCAGGTTCACTCCCCTGCTCCCGTTGCTGGAGTCTGTTTTTGTGAAACCATAAATTTGACTAAATTTGTGCAGGAACTCCAGGGTGTAAAACCATGAAGCAAAGACAGCCTCCTTTTCCAAATCAAAATGACAGAAGTACTTGAGATTTGCTCGATGCTACTTACCATCCGTGAGGGACAGAGTACAAGAGAGTGTCTTTAGGTGTAGCTGAGTCACTGTTACACCAACAGCAAGGGCAAATAGGTAAGCTAACGGGAGGAATGACAGTACCTCACACATCAACACACTTCAGGGGAAAAAGAAAGGGAAGAAATCACATGCCAGCAAGAGAAAAAGAACACCTCTTCTAGTCTACACATCACCCAGCACAGGATGTTTTATGAGCTGGGCGTTCAGGCACACTTCTTGCTGGGTCCTGTTGGGTATCGACAGCCCAACAGGGATTTGGAAAAAGACCACAGTATTTCCAAGACACAAGGAAAATATGGAACCTCTGAGATGGAAAAAGTCCTGGAGAAACAGAGCAACTCCTCCCCCCTCCTTCATCCCCAGACCTGTACAAAAGGGACAGACAATTCTGAGAAGTCACTGAGAAATGATGTGCCACCTGCAATTGCTCTTGGCACTTTTCTAATGAATAGTCAACTTGCTCACATTAACAGGCAGTGCCCACCAGTGGACATGCAATTAAAACATAAACTGCTTTGAACAACCATGTGAGGGACCAGCAGAAACCAGTCAGAGACTGGAGAGAGGAATATGTCTTCAGAGGTTGTGCTGGCATATGTAACTTTGAAAAACTGTAGTGGGCAATTCTAGAGACTGGTGCCCACACCGCATGAACTGCCTCTGTCATTCTGTCAACGAAGTTTCATCTGCCACATCTGGGAAGTTCTCCTCCAACCCAGAACTCCCACCCTATACCTATGCTTAAATAATTTCCTTGGGTTTGTCTACAACTGGAACCTATTACCATGTGGAATTAAGAAAAACACTGTAAGTGACAAAATGCAAAAAGTTTCAATCAGCGTTACTTCAGCATAACTACCAAGCAGGTTTCTACAAATTTGGCGTTTGCTTGCTGTTGTGATTGCTATTTTAAGACTTTTCCCAAGAAAAGGTGAAAAGAGGCCACTGGAAAACACATGGGCTCTGGGTGCCAGGTGAACCACAGCTCGTGTCCTCTCCGGCTGGTCTGCTGGCCCGCGCTGGGCTGGGTGTGCTTATCGCAGCCCCTTTTGTACGTGCCATTGGTGCATCTCTGGCTGGAACGGGAAAGGTGGAGGAGGAACCCAAACATGGGGAGTTCAGGCTTCGAGTTAGGCAAATACAGAAAATAAAACTGTGTTCACATTGGGGTCTTTGTGTGACCCCTGGAAATGAGACTGGCAGCTCACCCTTCCACTGGCACCTTTACAGTGGCATCACAAAGTGCTTTGCACATCCACTGCCTGTACAATTGCCCCCTTGTCCCCCCTCCTCCATCCTGGCCACCAAGGAAGCTGCACCAATGGTTTGCTCTAAAGACCCATCGGTCTGTACAGTCGCTCAGTTCAAGAAGCTGAGTGGTTTCAATGTTCTACTTAACAGAGGGTCTTAAAGACAATGCTGGGCAAACTGAACAAACCCAGAAACTCACCTCCAGAAACAACAAAGCAAGGAAAATGCTAAACAGAAAACAAACAAACAAACAAACAAAAAAAAATCACAGAAATAAGAACAAAACAATGGGCTCAACTTAAAATGCAATAACACATGTTAAACAAATATTCTGTTTTAAACCAAACATCGCATCAACGACAAAAACAACGTACCATCCTAGCTTTTAATCCTGAAAAACCATGAAACAAAAAGGCCCATTCAGGATAGAGTTCACCAGGTGAAAAAACAAACTGTGGTCAGACAAATCTGTTTACATTAAGTCCCTTTAGTGGAGCAAAAGACAAAACCATAGAAATCCTGGGAGACTGATGAAATAGGAGTTATAAACCAAGTGTAGGTAGCATATTGTAATAAAGCACTTTGAGTCAGTTGCAAGATAGATGATATCTTGGTGCCACTGTAATAATGAGTATATTATTAAAATAGAACCCCATGACACCATATCGCTTTATCATCTATCAACCACAAAACAATTGCAATTGGCTCATGCAGCAGCCGCTTGCATGTGTACAGGTGAAGGTGCCTCCTCAGACCCTCCAGGTGGGCTGACAAGCTAAATAAGCAACCAGTTTTTTATACTTAGGAAATGACATTTTGCAACTGATGCAATAAATTGAACATTTCCTGGAGCTCAGTTAGGAAGAGAGGCTTGAAGGGTAGAGGAGAGCAGAAGAACCAGTGCAGATAAACCCCAGGCACAGGAGCAAACAGACCATGAATGCACGCTGTATTTGCATAGGAAAAATGCCAGGGGTGAAGGAGCAGATACATCACTGCAGAGTATGGAATGGCCTGGAAGGAGGCTCAGGAGAAGATACACACTCTCAGTCCTTGATGTAGGACTGACAGGGGGAAGAAGCAAACCAGCAAGAACAGCACCTTGCTGGTGAAACAGCAGAATAACTGATAGGACTTTTCACCAGACTCAGCCCCAGAGTGGCTTTACCACCTCTGTGGGAGGTGGGCAAACACGCTGGGAATGTGAACATCATGACTAAGGAAATGTAAGTCATGGTGCCCTATGCTAACACCTGAGAGACTTGTTTTGATTGATGAAGGTAGAGAAAATGTTGATGTTGCCAGAACATTGATCAATGTTATAGATGCCTGTTGCTATAGAAACTCATTGCCATACATTATAAAAATAAAATCAAATTATTAAACTAAAAAAATATTCCTTAGGAGAAAATAAAAATATAAACTGATAGGGCAGACCCACCTTTGCAGCAGGCCTTTGGTAGCTCAGTTCCAGTTTCTCCTAGCCTCTGCTCACCACCCACTTAGCGGTACCTAAGCTCTACAGGTGATATTTCCATATGTCAAAAATCACATTTCCAAGCATGTCCAGAACTTCTTCATTCTTGGCATGTCCAGCTCTGAATCACATCAGAGGCTTGATCTGAAAAGTCTTGCCATCAACATGGCATCTGTTGCATCTTCAGGACCACTGTGTAGTTTAAGAGCATAAGAGATGAAGTAATGGGGTACATTTGGCTGTCAACCACGGGTCCGGTCTCTGTCATCAACCCGACTGTACTGGATACAGATATCTAAGGGATAGATGCTGCAAACCTGAAAGCTGCAGCTGCTAAGACCCTTTGGAGTTCACCATGGCTGTATTTATGTATTAAACAAATTGCTTTGGCACGCATTCATTAAATATCTTTCGGCTCATGAGCCAGCAATCCATCCATACACCTATTTCTGCCTCAGAAAACACCTAACTTGACCCCTTGCCTTCTCCTCTATGTCATTATCCATTCGGTCATCAACTATTGACCTTAATGTATTTTTTTCCCAAACTAAAGCCCTTCGAGCTTTGCGAGTGGCCTTGTAAGCACCTCACTGGCACTAAAGCTGAGATAACGAGAAGCCTCACGGCGGCTGTCAGACGACGGCTCCCACAGGCATGCACCATGTTCCGGTGGTTAGCAGATGTGGAGGCAATCAACTGCACTTTCAGATGTGCTCATCTGTGAGACTAATTATCTGCCTGTACAAATGAGGTAGGCAGGGATCTGGGCTGATACAGTTAGAGGAAAAATAAGCAGAAATCCACAATTTTGTACTCACTTCCAATTGTGGTCACAAAACGGGCCCTGTGATATTGAAAACCAGGTGAAAGCCTAGTGAAAAATCATGGAATAAAGTTATTTTAAGCAACTAACAATGTGGTGTGACATCTTAGCTCCATTAAAGTGTGGGCTTTTTTCTGATTTCTAAGCAATCTTCACATGTACTATGCTTTGGATTGAAAAAGAAGAGAATAAGCATCACTATCTTGCATTTTAAAATAACACTACCAGGAAATTCATCACAGAACAGGAGCAAACATCCTCATCTGACATCTTTTCAAGACTGGACAGGAAATCATTGTAAGAAAGGATTATATTTAAAACCAACAAACAGACACAGCACAAACAGGAGCTGATTAAAGCAGTCATGGCAAAATAAAATGAATAAAAGAAGAATAAAATTAGTAACATTATTCTCCTTCATATATAATGAGCTGGCTCCATTTGGCCTATTGTCTTTGATGAAGTGGATTAAACTCCCAGTAAACAAGGGTCTCGAGATTTACACTGAAGCAACAAACAGGGATCCTGCTGCATTTCAGATACTTTGCAATAAAACTGAACAGGAAATTTCTTTTTCTATGTTTGAGCTCCTCCAGCCTTTGGAGGTCTCCCCTGCAAAAGGGGTCTGGAAAACATCAGCAGCTCTCAGTAAAATGCACGACCAAAGTTCTTCATGCTGGCAGCTCTGATGCTAAAATTCCTGAAGAGCTAAATGAACCTTTAAGAAGAACATTTCAGTAAATGCATGCAAGGTAGGCACGTCTCAAACATAGGCCCATAATCCCCATGCAGGCAGAACTCTGCACTGACCCCAGCAACATCTGGACAAGTATTTCCACCTACACATAATTTCTTCAGTTTGGATCAGTATATATGAAAAGGTGGGCCTGAAGGCCACATTTTCTAAGGACTCTGGTATCACAGAAGCTGTGCATATGTCCACATCCAAGCAGAAAAGCCTGCATCTGAAAATGCAAATTGACGTTTCTAGCTACAAACCAGTGACTGTTCACATATATTATTTTATTCAACCCAGCACTCTTTCAAACAGCAAAGAAAAAGCATTCAAGCATATTTGTTAAGTCCAATATTTAGGAGAATGTCTTTACTCTTAAATTCTCGAAGCAGAGATCATTAAAGAATAGTTAATACATTATGTGCACACATACCTCTCGTAATTAAAAATCCAAAGTGAAATGGTAACACTTCACCTGGTGAAATCTATCCTAGGACAGCTCAAAAAAAATCCTTCTAAAATACAGTTATTTATAGAAAGGCAAAAGGTGAGGCATTACAAAGAAAAACAAACTACAAAAAATACTTATTTAATTCATGGTTAGGCAATCAGCACTGAAGTATTCAGTCAATCTAAAGTCCTGTCAGTAACAGAGATGGTATAAAAGGGCTCACAGAGTACTATGGGATGCTCCACTTGAACAGACGTGTATTGACACTGAAAATCAGAAACCAAATTATAAAATTCCCAAATAATAAAATAATGCTTACGCGGCTATGGAAATGTTAGCTGCAGACATGGGGCTGACTTCTGCCACTTCCTTGGCCTTTTGCAGGGCGAGCTTTTGATTGGTGGCTTCCTCCATCTCCTCCTCATCCTGGTGCAGAAAATCAAGAGAAATCAGAGTATGCATCATGTAACAACAATAACCAGAGCTCCCCAGGCACGAGTCATATGTGACTGTCACCGCCACACTGTGAGAACAGCAGAAACTCATTAAAATAAGGCAGAATTTCATGACTTCTTGCAAGGACCCCTGGGTAGAGTCTTGGTGTCAAGAACAGCTGGTCAAGATGAGAAATGCAAGGTTTGGTCATGTTTTTACCAAGATTACATCTCCCTCACAAAACTTTCTTACCTCTCCTGGGTTTCCTCTTCGCATTCAGTAAGAGACTATGGCAGGGCAAGGAGAAACCTGACCACAAGTGTGACATTTCTGGGGTGAAGTGAGCCCCATTTATCTCAGACCTGTGTGTGTAAAAACACTCTAAAGCCTACATCCTACTGAAATGTATGTGACAGACTCCCAAGTCCTTCATGAATTCTTGCCAATGTGACTTTTCTGAAACAGTAAATCCAATAAGCAACACTGGATTTGACTGGTCCTGCTCACAACAGTTTTACCCCAGATAATTCCACTTATTTCAGTTGAGTCCCTGCAGACATACAGGGTGAAAACAGAAATGAGGAGCCACAATAAAGTGTAGTCTGTAGACTCAAGCATAGATCAGTGATTTCTGCATACCCTCCTGGATCATGTGGATTTTTAAGCTCTATTGGCATTCCAAGTTCCTGCAAACAGTAACTGATTTGTTTCCTACTACCTGGTGTAATGACAAGAGAAATACCACTCAAATTCAAACTGCAGGATCTTAAGTAAAGGCAGGAGAGCAAAAGGCAAAGAAACAGCCTGAGTCATTTTCAACGGTCATCTAGGTTAAACTTCCTCGACAGTCAATTTAGATAGTAAAATCACAGCAGGATAAACACAGACCCTCTGATGGCAATGTCAGCATCACACATATTCAGGGAATAACTACATGTCAAGATGAGAGCAGTCACGGGCTCTTCTGTCTAATTTTATGAAATGCCACAGGTCTACCTCTGCTCTTCAAAAGTAATGCTGTGAAACACTTATGCCTAAAATATTGAGAGCAGACAGTAAGACATTCTGCTTCGAAATAGATCTATCCATCCCAAATACCATATGCATAAACAATTCCTTGTTCTGACTTTGGTGTTATTTGCTTAAACAGAACTCATTTTGAAACTGTTTTCCTTTTCCCCTTTAGAAGGAAAAAGAAATTATAGAACACTAATAAAAAAAAATTTGCTACCATTAAAGTTCCAATTTTTTTTCTTTTCCAAATATTAATAAATCTATAACAGGTAAATTGTTACTGTAGTGAATGAAGAATCTGAGACAGGTCATGAAAAAAAGCCCTGCTGAAGGATTATACAAAGTTAGTATTTCTCAACTGCCAACTTCCAGTAAATTGATCAATGGTTTGGAAGCTTATTGTAAATCAAGAGTATCTGCAGAACATTAATCTTTTCAGAAATAAGGCTCCCAAATAAGAAGGCTTTTATGATTTTCCTTTCATTTCACAGGTATCTTCAAGTTGTTTCTTCTCTTGAGGGGTCTCTAGCAGTGTTAAAACCACAGGCATTCAAAGGCTTTTGATTTGTCTTTCTGTGCACCTAAAGCACCAGGTGCAGTTTTTGCTATCTCTTTAAAACTTGTATCTTCAACTACATTCTTCCCAGTATACCAGTAATTCTGCTGGATTTGGTATCTCAAAGGAACAGCAGAAAATATCCACTGTCATAAACGTAGCCACCCCTACCTCAGAACAAGCATGCTCTTTAGCAGATGACCGCTTAATAACATTTCTGTAGACCCTTCCACCCAGAGATTTTAGATCACTACGAAAATTAATCAGTTTTTTGCCTGATACTTACCCTGTCAGGTCTCCCTGGCGCACAGGCTCTTTTTGTTCTGCCTGAAGCACGCAGGGGTGTGACGGTGCATGTCTAAAGCCAGCACTGAGCTGTGGTGACAACATCCATCCGTCCCACCTCCCACCAACAGCCCAGACTGTCACCATCTATAGAGGGGCAAGTGCATGTAAAGGCTCTGACTATAAGGACATCTCTCTCTTTTACGTCTTCTTTCTGTTTTCTAAATCTTCATCTAAACCACACAGTTTATCCCATGGTAAAGCCCACCTTTGGCGCTGCCCACTACGATGTGCATAGTTAACACCGACTGCTCTTTATCAAGTTCACCCAAGGAAAGCCCTCTCCTCTGGGAAGGAGGAAGAGGGGTCTTCATGGCTCTTAGATTCTTGTTTTTTGCCACTCACTTCAGTCCATTATTTCTGGGGATTTCTCAACTTTTTTTATATATTTTAATGTATGTTTCTGTAAAACTCACACATCCGTCCTATCCCACGTTGCATGTTTATATACTGCTTTCTCAGGGATAGCTGGCGGGGATCAGAGAACACACTTTCTGCTTTAGGATATTTAGGAAGATAAAGGGTCACTTGTGGTGGCTTTACATGTCAGTTTAACGAGGATGAAGAATGAAGTGCTGTGTGTCACTGGAGGTGGTATGGGATGGTCAGTGCAGAGATTTTAAAAGCAAACTTTGGGGGCGATTTTAGATTCCACTCTGAAAAAGTGAACAGGAAGAAAAACCTGCCAATATACGGAAAAACCTAGAGGCTAGGCAACCCAAAGAGATTCAGGACAGCTCTGAGGAATCACTAGAAATTAAGTTGGGAGAGTTTAAGTCAGTGGTAAAGGAGAGCCAGCACAGGAATAGGAGGAGAGAGACCTGGGGAGGAAGAGGCAGAGGCTGGACAACTGATTCTTTATATTTTCAAAGTAAAGAAGGTGATTTTTATTTTTTTTTTTTTCCCCTAAAAAAATGAGTCATCCCAAACTACTGATGAGTTTTGTAACAGACATTGGGTGATCAGGCTTGAGTTAAATATAGTTACAATTCTGGTAACTTCTGTTACAGGTCACAAGGCCCAGCTAAGGCTACTGAGAAATGTTTAAACGCCATGATGAAGTCCAAATTAGCATCCAGAAGTTGGTTGAAATGTTTCAGTCCTGAAGGTTAGCTGGAAAGCTTTTTGTCTTTCTAAAACAGAGGCAGTTATAAACAGCTTAAGGTTTTCCCACATTATATGCAGCACTGATCTCGATTAGTTTTAGAGCATAAATGTCAAGAAAGTCTCCTGAGATCAACTGACTCCTGAGTAACTTAATTATATCTCTGGGCCATTTTTGGTTTTGCATGATCATATTTACTTAGCAATAAATCCCTCATTCTCCAGGTATGCTATATTATTGAATTACTTTTATCTTCTTCCTCTTCTTTTGAAAGCCCTAGTGGGTTTTTTTGGATCATAAATAAAATTAAAGAAAAAAGAGTTTCTCAAAAAGCTTTATGATTTGGCAATGCTGCCGAATCCATCAATATTTAATTATACTTTATAAACATCAACAAAGTCAGGTTTCCAACCGTTCCAGCCAGCTGCTGAAATATTCACAAAAAAGCACTAAAAGGATTAAGAAAGAAGTAGGATGAGCTTCATTATCCAAGAATTGTGCTGGGTCTGATCCTCTCTCTTAGCACATGCAAGGGATGCCCATAAATCTCCTGAACTGGCTGGGAGGATACCTGCCTCTGGGCTGGAGATTTCTGGGGGCTTTAGAAAGAACAGAAACAGCTGAGCTGCTGTACGGGAAAAACTTCCCAGAGAAAAAAACACTGAAAGCCATTAAACACAGCTTTGAGCTGCATTGTAAGAGAGGAGGGAAACAGAACACGGCCTCAGAGACATAGGAATATTTATTATAAACCTAAGAGCCAGCAGCCTTCCTGTACAGCCTGCACTGACTATCAGCTGTCGCTCAAAGCTGGAAGCTGAAGCTGGTCACACAGCTCCATAGCTGAAAAGGAGAGTAGATAAAAGACAAGCTCAGCTGCAATAGAGGTGTGGATTTCAACTGGGAACTGGCTGGTTGCTTTGCTCTTCTGCAGCTGGAATGGGGTAAGAAACTCCTAGAAATCTCTGTATCGCTGAACAATGGAGTTATGTATCCATGAACTACTGCACTCTCCTACAACTCTAAAAAGAGAAAACATCCTTATGCAGCCCACTGCTGCATAAGCACATAGTTAGTGATCCTCTATAAGGAGTATATATGTTAAAGCCTGTAAAACACAACTGCTAAGGTGGGTACGGTGCTTCGTTTGCCACTGGTGGGTCACAATGACTTATGGTGATGGCAGCAGCACAGCAAAGGGGTGTGCATGTTCTTAGCCACTTGGTGAGAACAAGCTAGAAATGTGCAAACGAAATCTAATGCTGCCTCATAAATACAACTGAGTACGCTACAGTGAGAAATAAAAAGTATGTAATAACACAAATACAAACTGCAGCACTGTCAATCCTTCCTGCGCAATACTGAGGCTGTAAGATCTTCTTCATGGGGAATGCTCCAATATAAATCGGCACATACAGTAAAGTTACATTGGTGTCATTTCCATCTCTTGCCAGGACCTGGCTTTCTGCCTGCATTTGGGCTGGTGCCTCAGATTTCTCTTGTACCTGGTGAGAGGCAGGAAGATTATAGCATCTTCATGGAGTATTCACAATAGCCTCTGCAAGCTGTTTTCCAAGGAGCTGACTGGAGAATGCTAATTCTTTGATTCATCCGGAAACTCAGCAAGGTATGAAACACTAGTGTGAGACAGCAAAAGCAGCAATACAACACCTGTGTTTCCCCATGTCTAAGCTTCAAGTCAACCAAAACCCACTAATTGCTTTCCCTCTGCTCTTGAAAACAGTAAGTGCTACAAATGCCAGCACACCTCCATGCAGCAGAGAGATGAGCAATGCCCACTGCCCACTCTGTGATAAAATGAAACTAAGAAACATGAAATAGTTCACTGAAACAAGCCTGAAATGAAACAAACCTCAACAACAATAAACTTCCAGGTCCCTCTCTGCAATGCAAACTGATAAACAGATACTGCATGAACAGGCTCTAGAGGAAATCTCAGGGTGTCGGGAAGGGTCAGCAACGTGCACGTTAGATCCAGCGGCCGTGGTCTAAGTTTGAAGAAATGCAAATCTCATACATACCTTGGTGAGCTCTTGGGCATTTGCCAGATTGTCAACAGCAATAGCCAAGAAGACATTCAGGAGTGTATCTTTTGGGGAGCAGATAAGGAAAAAGTCTTCACACAGCAGATACAGCAAACTGTTCCCCTCTGCTGCCACGACCCTTCTTTCTCCACTGACAATCATCGGTGTATTATGGACTGACCCACTGCACCACTGCCTTCGTCTTCATTCCCAACTCACCCACCTCTGCTGAGAGCCAGCTCTGCAGCACAGCAGGACCTGGACACCCATTTGTCTCTTCCCCAGCACATATCCCTGGTGAGGATACACACACGTGCTGAGCAGACGGGCTTTACAACACTGTAAGGGCAACTGGTATGGGAACGCACGGTGGTCCCAGAGACACAATGACCCCTGTTTTTTCATGCCAGAAAATCCATACCTACACTCCTGCCCATACACATACACTGTGGGTTTCATGTTATTTTTTTCCCTCTTGTTTAAAAGGACAACTGGTAGAGCTCACTGAAATTGGTCATTTTAAAGCCACATTTGCATAATACATATAGCTATATAAAGACACTGGGTACCATGAAAAAGTTAAGCTTAGGTTACCAATGCGTTACATACTGGTGGGATGAAACTATTATGACTTATCACACTGAAGTCAATATGACAATTAGACCACCACAGACATCCTCTATCCTGAATGCTGCAGCATCATGCAGAGCACAGCTACAGAAGAACCTGTTAGCAGGACACTCATCCTGAGCTAATGAGCTCTGCTGGGAAACGGGCTGTTAGTCCAGGCCAAATTGCATCTAGCCCAGCTAAACAACTGCCAGTGCCCACGCTAGCCTGGGTCTCTCTGCAGAGCACTGCATTATATCACTAAGACATACCATTTCCCTGTAATTATTTATTCATATTTTATTTTCATTTTTCCACTTAATGATTTCAGCTATTACTTGTCCCTTCATATATTTTATTGTTGTTATTCCAGCTATGCGTCTGCAAAACAGCCCCAAAACAACTGTAAATCAGACACCTTTACATGTGAAAGGAGAGCAAGCAAAGCAGAACCAGTCTGAACTACTCTCCAAGAAGAAAATGCATTTTGCTCTTGCACATTACCTGGTGACAGGAGAGTCACTCACTCTGTAGCTGTGTAAAGCTGTGATTGCTCCTCTAAATATCAATGTACATGAGAACTGAGTTGATCTCACAAGTATTTACCCTCTGGAGATTCACAAAGGCTTTAACAGCAATGCACCGCTACAGTGTTTGTACCACGCTGTCCTCAACCAGAGCCAAACACGAGTCTGGGGGACCAGATGCAGGTCAGAGCGAAATGATTACAGCAGTTTTAGGCAACTAATCCAGCTATTTTCTGTCAGGTAAATGTGTCACCTGTTTTGGACTGCGAGTTGGCAGCAATGCCCAAAGCAATGCTGCAGCGAGGGCAGGAGAGGTGAGGCGTGAGCTCCCAGGGCGCTGGCAAACCTGCAACGAGATTTTGGGAGACCTTGGCTTTGGTGCCCCTCTGATTGCTTTCCATTTCTCAGAAGGATGCCTGGAGGAGGCACCTGAGGTTACTCTATAAACAGAGAACCCAGGAGCGTTGCAAGGCTGATTCATCGGCTGCAGTGGTCTCTGCTGAGCAGGAGTGTGCCCAGAAATCCTCATGCTCCAATAGCCCCGGGGCAGCACCCTGGCTGTGGGGCTGTTGCCCCACGCTGGCATGGCATCAGGAGACTTTCCAGGGCAGCCAGGGACCAAAGTTGGCCCAAACAACCAGCTCAAAACCTCTTTGCTTTCCATCTCACGAGCTTTTACCAAACATAATTCAGTGAAGATTTCAGAACCAGGCATTCATGTCTCTAATTCCCATTGAGATGAGTGTCTCCAGAGCCTGAATGCCTATGAAAAACTGAAGCTTCTGCTTGTGACAGTGGAAAGCAGAAGTTGTATTTAATCTCTTTGCATCTGCATCCTGACTGCCAAACCCTGCAGGGGATGGGACAGAAAGCCTGGGGTTTCTCCAGGCGAAGGCCATGGCATCCATCAGGTTTTCCCCATGTCTTGTAACATGGGATGGAAGTTTTTATCATATAAAGATATGGGACAGACAGAGGTTTGAAATGTGATGCCTCTCAATTGCTCCATCCCCCACTCCAGCAGGATAGTGAGGAGCACAGGGTGGGAGCACCTCAATCCCAGTGAGCCCAGTAGATAGAGAACAAGAAAAACAGAAAGACAATGCTGAAATTATCACCTTCCTCCCACGATGAAGTCAGAGCTCAATCGACAGTTCATTTGCAAAGATACCAATTACACCATTTCCTTTTAACTGAGGATTGGCAAGAGGGGGCTGTCACTCGTGGGCTGGGAGTGCAGGCAGGGAGGCTGGGGCAACCCTGCCTGCAGCCATTTGAGTTTCTTCCTCTGGGGTGCTTCCAACATGTTGGCAACACTTCCAAGCTCCTGTTCTGGGAATAAATGTCTCGATAATAAAACTGTCTTCCTACCCCTGCCTCCTACACACACATACTGAAAATGTCTCCTGTAACATAATCAACCACTGGAAATATAGTTATTTTTTTTTTTTAACAGATCGGGCTGTTTTGATCCATCTCCAAGCAGACACAGTCTGGCAGACTTAGGTGTTTCTGCCCCATAAAAAGTCCCTCAGCCCTTTCTGCAGAGCTCAGGGGTTCCCAAATATCACCCAAACTCCAGCCTGGCAGACCCTGGGGCCTCACTGGCCGCCTGAGCCAGTGGCTGGGGCTGGGTACGGCTCTCCTGCCTGGCAGCTAAGGGTGAGGGGAAGGACAGGATGCTCCAGGTATTTTATTTGCTGCTTTTTATTTCAGGCTCCTCTTTAGTTTTTTATGTTTTTTTTTTCTCTCTTTTTTTTTTTTTTTTTTTTTTTCCCCTCAACAGATGCATCAATTTATCAATTAACCAGATAACAATGAATACAGGCATGGTGTAATTTCCTAGAAAATGGGCCAAATCCTGCTGTTACTCTAATCATACTATTTTCATTAAACTGTTTCAGATGCAGAGGTCTGGCTCCACACAGACTCTCTGGAACTGGGAGTGTAATGTTAGAAACTTCCAACTTATAAAAACAAAGTTTCTGGATCTTTTCTGTGCAATAGTCCCTTGAAAAAGTAAATGGATTCAAATAAACAACTGAGCCGCAATGAGAAGCAGGGGAAGCCAGCACCCACTCACTTTTCTTCTTGATGAAGAACAATCACAATGCCCTGAGCAGCTCTGGGAGAGGAAAGGAGTCCCTCATGTTCAAAAAGAGCAGGTTTTGCACGCTGACTCAAAACCACCAATGCCGATTCTCTAATGAGATTTGATCCTATCTTCCTAAACTCTTAAAAATGGACTCACCAAATAGCAGTGTTCAAAACCTGAAAATAAAACCCCTCCCAGCAGAGGAACTGAAGTGCCTTTTGCTGATCAGCATCCAGAAGGACTTCAACTGATTTCAACGGTAGTGGCATAAGGAAATAAATACAAAGAGTCCCACTTAAGAAATTCAGTTGCGGTGAATGTCTGTGTGGGAAGGGCTGGTGGCAAATCCATTCTCAGCAAATGAAAAAAACCCACTGCATAAAGACTATATTTTTAAAGATTTTTGGAGGAAGTTCTGTAAGGCAGAGGGGGGAGATCTTTGTGAAGTCCCAAGTTAGAGCAAAAAAGACAGTTCACATTAATCTAACCTAAGTAAGCTAATCAAAAACTTGGACTGCTCTCCAAGGGCATCCCCTTGGTGTTTGCTGGGCTGAGGGACTCTCCTTGGGAAGGTGAATCCAGGGCTCAACACGTATCTCACCCTGTACACTCGCCTGTCCTTAACATTGCTGGGCACTGCAGCTTCATTGACATTAACGAGTATTTTACTTCCTGAAAAAATGCAGGACTGTTCTTTTCTGGCAGACTAAACTTTATTTTCAGATGTTCCTGGTTATGTTTTGACAGTTAATGATAACTTAAGTCCCGGGTAAGTCATACAGTTCAGCTTTCCCTCAGAGATAAATGACTGCCTGCCGCTTGCTCTCAGCATCAAAACTATAGCTAGTGAAGAGCAGGGGTAGCACTGACCTTACTGAAATACTGTTTGAAATATCAGTGCAAGCATTAGTGGGCTTGCTGCTGCAATTCCCACAGTAAACAGAGAAAAGATTTAACCCCTCATCCTCCATCACACACTCTAGCCTCAGTTCTCGCCTCCTACTTGAAGGTGAACAGGTCTCCGTGTGATGCAGAAAGGCTCTTACAAGCTCTCTGTGAAAGCAGTTGATGCTCTCCGACTAATTTTCTATATAGAATAACCTGGGCAGAGTCTCTAATTCTCCAACATGGATGTAAATCTCCACAGAAATAATAGATTTGCTTTAGGTTTATAACTGATCGCTAGAAGCTGGTAAAAGAAGTCTTCTAGGACGTTATAAAAGGGTTTCTGAGTGTTGCTAGTCTTTGTCAGGCAGATCTCCCCTCTCTCTGTACTTTGTCCTCACAGAAACTCACCTGCAGCAAACTCATCCCCATCTGCAGGACTCCTGAGGAATTAAAGAGTCACACCTGGCACGTGCTCCTTGCTGAACGCACAGGCAGCGCCCCGAGGAGTGTGCTCTGGCTGTGCTAAAGGTGTGCCACCAGCACAGACTGCGGGCAAAGGGGACGAGAGAGGAACTGGAGATGGCCCCAGGGAAGCAGCCAGGAAAGCCACCACCTCCCGGATCTCCTCCACAGCAGGACAGCAGAAGGGAAAGCAGGAGAGCTGCTGTCTGCCAGGATGATGTTTGGGGAGAATGGGAGTAAAGTTTCGACTCGCCACTCTGCCAGGGCAAGCAGAGGCAAATAGCAAATTCATGGCAGGGGTAATAGGTGAAGCAGGTCCTTATTCTCTCCTCTTGAATATCTCCTGCTCTTTCCCTTTTAATGAAAATTAAAAGACAAGGGAGAAACCCCCCTCTGAATTAAAGGTGCAAGAAGGGAATTTATATCCTGTTCCTCAAAAATGCTGGATCTTAGCTGCTCTAAGGTTAAAAGTCTCTCTCTTAGTTCTGCTGTCAAGCCTGATTATAGCTTAATCTCATTTTCAAATGCCAAGCCCTGAGGATTTAGAGATCTCCCTCCCTCCCAGCTCTCCACTGACCCAGTTTTCCAAAGCCTTGTGTTTCTGCAAGGGGGCATGTTGCCTGCCACGAGGCAGATGTCTGACATAGCTGCCAAGCCAGCCCAGGCATCTCGGTGGCTCTGACAGCGCACATTAATGGGATAAATCCCGCAGAGACACGCTTGTGTGACAAGCACAGCTCGCACGCTGCCTGCTCCGCTGTTCCCTCTCTCAGTTCCTCGTGCTAATGGGGAGATTTCAGGCAAAGCAAAGGGCAGGAGCCCTGCCATGCACTCCATGGGCGCTGATGTTTGACCTCTTGTCATCTTGACTGCCAGCTGAAGGGGTCTATGGCTGTAACAACTCTTTAGCACAAGTACTGCCCCCCAGGTACCCTCCCCTTTCTCCTAGGTACCCAGCCGAAGTTGCCAGCCCAAACAGGACTCCTAGGACCTAGGAAAGACAAGCACTGGGACTATAACTAGCAAGAAGATTCACACTGCTGGGAAACCCTCTAGGGAGCTCTCAGAGCGGCAGTGCTCAGCGTTATTATCCCTATTTTACAAAACAAACAAACCAGCCAGGCTGCCTCATATGTGCAACAGTTTTTAAGTTTCCATTTTCAAGGATGCTCTGTTTGACTCCACACAGCTTGTTGCTGCAGCCAGCAAACATCTCGTACTAACAATTTTGTACTTAGATAATGTGAGCAATGGTACGCAGCATCAGCCCATCAGCAGCCTCCCCCCGTGAAGCAGGGACAAAGCCATCACAACCACTACGCTCTGATGGCTCTCCTAATCACACCCACCCGCTAGACGGGAGAATCTCTTCGCTCATTTCTGTATAAAATACAGCCTCCCTTTCCAAATCCCATCTCCATGTCACTGCTAGATTCTTGCCTCCTTAGATTTCTCCAGGGACATAACACGTCAGAGTCCTGCTGGTTCCTCAGCAGACACCCTGGGAATTTTGGGGAGACACAAGCTCCCAGTTTCCTGTTGCCCAGAAGAGATTTTCATGACTAAGCAGAACAAAACATCTTCAGACACTTCATGTGTGGGGTCCTGGATTGTGACCGAATACTCCCAGAGCCTGAAACCCAAGATCTGGACTTAAGTTTTAAGCATTACGTGGAGACAAGAGAATTTCAAGCATTTGGAATAGCACAGCTGGTTAAGCTGTCGTGTAGACAAGGGCACCAAGACACTGGAGCCTGGCCTACACACCAAACTAATTTCAACTCTTCCTTCCCCTGATCTATTACAAACTATCTGTGAAGATATTCAAGGTACAGTGGTCCTGCTCTGACTTGACTTCAGTAATTTTTTCCCACAACATAAATTAACTCATAATAGGACATTCTTAAGGTAGAGCTTGAAAATTAAATTAATTAAGTCTATGCTCACATTGCCATCAGAAAAGTGACATCGACGTGGACAACTTACCTACACCTCTTATCCTGGGTGTTGTAAGGAGCAAAGTTATGGCAGTGATTTGGTTTTACAAAGTGTAAGCGAGGGTGTGAGAATTTAAGCATAACTAGATATTTCTAGCACCCCAGGAAGGGTGCATGGCACACTGTGCCACTAACACAAGGCAACATGTAAGGATACAGTTACCAAACAGCGTCAGGACGATGAAGTAAATGGAGGAGAACATCCCCGAGCGTACGCCACCCTGTGACTCTATCCCATGGTACATCACCGCGTTCCAGTCTTCCCCTGTCAGGATCTGCACACAAAATTCAAGGGAGAAGAAGAAAGGGTGACTCAAAGGAAAGACAAAGTAGGTAAGGTTTGGGGGAGCTCGGCAGCCTGACGCAATCCAGGACGGGTCTCTGGGCGGGAAATGGATGAGCACGTTAGTGTGGCAGATTGAAGTGCTGGACGTCAACCCTCACCCTGGGCTGGATGCAGCTTTCTCCTCTGGCACGGGCTGGGAGAGGTGCGGGCGGCCCGTCACCCTGTTCCTGCCCCCCACCTCTGACCTCAGGCTCTCACGCAGGCAGAAGCAGAAAAAGGCACGTTCCAACACTTCACCCTCAGCACAACTTCTCCTCCCTCTCCGTTTTTAAGTCATGCAGAGATACCAGGTTTCAACAACTCCGGGCATGGCATTTCCCACAGACATGAGGAAACTCTGACCTCTAAGCCCAGTGTCCTGAGTGGGTCTTCTGACATCAACCCTTTTCATTCAGTTCACACAGACAGGGTTTGCTCCGCTCCCCCCCCAAACCACACACACTGTACACACTGAGTGACTGCATAACTGGAGGAGAAACTCTTGCAACCCCCTTCTGCTATTCCCCTGTTCCTCAGGGCTGCAGACAGCTTTGCTGAGGCCGGTACACGTGTGAGCATTATTCCAAATGCCAGACACTGGGCAGCACAACCCCTGCAAGGTTTGCCAGGGGGCTGCACCACAGTGGGTTCTTCTCCAGCTTTCCTGCTTGCCTGGAGAAGCTTCCTTTTACCTGCTTCCACAAGGACCCAGGTGGAAAGGACCCACCCAGGTGGCCACAAACCACAGGAAAAAACCCCTAAGCAGAAGCAATAACCAAATGTGTGTGCGTGAGGACAGATGAGGGTAGCCTGAAGGAGAATCTGTTCCTCCTGCGCCCTTGTACAGAGGCGAGCACAGCCACAGCCTGTCTCTGCAGGGCTGTCCTGGCTGCAGGCTCTGGATACTGACCTGAGGCTAATTAGCAAACACACGAATAATAATAGAAAAACTAATCAAAATAAGCGAAAACACCTAAGACTCAAATAAGCCTTGTCATGCTAGATGTTAATTTTGCACCAGCCTGAATTGGCTGCCGTTCCTGTTCTTCATCAACGACTGTAACGCAGCAACATTCTGGGCAGATCAGCACTTATCTGCCTGTCAGCAGAGTCAAACAATAGTTACTTTTCGTACATTAAAACATGCCCACTGGGACATAAAGCTCAAATTCCTAAGTAGGAAGTTGTCTTTGTGTTTAGTAGAAGGAAAACCCCCAAAATGCCCAAAGCATTGTGTGTGTTGTAGTAATCAAGTCCCATGTGCATACAGTATGCTCAAAACAATTGCAAATTCCAGACTAGTTGTCAGCTGCTGATAGAGAGGAAATTTCTTGCTGTGGGGATGGTGCTGATGACAGCAATATGCTAAGAGCAAGTACAGACACAAAGACACACAGTGCATACACAAACCTGTTTCCTAAATGCAGGATCTGGTCTCAAATAATTCAGAGACCAGAATTCAAAGCCCAAGCGTAACCTGCACCATTGGAGTTACTCCGGATTCACACAAGAGAATAGGATCCAGGGGATCGGGCTTTCAGCTCTGGCACACAATTATGCAAAGCACTGTTCACAAGCTTGCATTCACATAATTTCCATGAATTCACAACTGTTCTGCTTTCTGGGAGTAACCATAAAGTGATTTCCATTCACACAAACATTTGTGCAAAGGGAAACCAATGGAACACTTCCTTGCACTGCAGAAGACCAGGAGTTGCAGGTATCACAAATTACAGGCTGCACATGAACAAGTTCAGCAGGTTGGGGTCTGGGTTCGAAAATCCAACTGGAGTATTTTGGCAGTGGAATAAATACTTAAACGAAAAAAAAAAAAAAAAAGTTTTATAGAACTTTTGCAGAGAGATAAATAGCCTGAATTTAACCAGCCTGCTTGGGCAGAGCCAAGGATGCTCTCTGAGGCCCTGGCAAGAGAACAGACACTTTGACCTGGTGTCCTTCCCATTGTTTACACTGTCACCCATCAGCTGGAGGAATTACTTAAGTAATTAGGTAGCAGTCCCCAAGGAGTAAATGCATGCAGTAAATAAATGTCTTTCTGCTCTATAAAGTCTCTGTTTATGGATGTTATAATAACTTCTTGCTATAGGAGAGAAAAGGAGAACATTGCAGAGGGAGGGCCACAAGCAGTGAGGATTTTGGAGCAAGGTGAAGCCCAAACATTTGGTTTTACCCTTGGGTCCAAAACTGCTTTTGCCTGCCCCAAATGAACATTTTGAGTGCATCTCAGCATTTAATACTCAGGCTTGGCTGAGGAGCCATCAGGTGATAGACTAAAAACAGCTGTCAAGAGCTGTTGCGAAATCTTAACGGGACTAATGAGCCCATTAACGGTGGGAGACACTCAGCTGCAGAGGAACAGTACTGCACCATTTCAAAGGGCTGCCCTGAAAGTGAAATGCTTTCCTGAAGAAGCGCCTGAGCAAATGCAAAATCACGTCAGCTCAGTGTCGCATCTTGCAGGCAGGTCAGCCAGGGCACTCAGGCATCAAGCCGAAGCCAGATCTCGGCAGGGGACCCCTCAGCAGAGCTGAGGTTTGGTCCCACCCTGCCACCGCGACTCGTCACCTCCTCCAGCATTCACCGGGGCTCTGCTCTCAGCAGCGTGTAATTATTTATGTAGTAGCTCTCAGGGAGCAGAGCACGTAGAGTTAACACAGGACTTTCTGCCTTATAGAGTCTCTGTGCTTACGGATGTTGTTTACGCTTCCAGCTGAATGACTGCTGGAACAGGGAGATGCATCTAGCTATTTTTCACATGCATATAGATATATATTAATATATATGTAGTCTGTGTTTGGGTTTTGTATATACACAGCTTGGCATTCAGCTCACAAAGACTTTCCTGGGAGCCAGGAGCTGTAAAAGAAAACGTGTGATGTTCTTCAAAGGGAATTTAGGGAGACAGGGTCTCAGCTAGATCCAAGACTGAGTTCAGCCCACTGCCAGGCAGACAAAATATGTCCTGGGAGTCGCATGACAGAGGACCATAACCCGGCCAGGTCTGCTGAAATAAAATGGGCTAAGACAGGCTGCAGAAAACTTTGTTTAGGACTGCTTCTTAAATAAAGAATCTCCAAAGGGCTTAGAGACAGACAGGATGTATCTGGCTTTATTGTATTTGTTCAACACATTGAATGCATTCACTGAATGATGCCACTCTGTTCATTAGAGCAGCAACCAAATAAGGCTGCTGGCTTGCCTGAGTTTATGGAAGATGAAGTTAGAAGAGAATCCAAAGCCCATATTGAAGAAACATTGACAGGGTATTTGCAATTCAGGGGAAGAAGGGGGAGGGACTGGGAGCAGAGGTTATCAAAACGCCTCTGTGAGGCTGTACTGAGTTAACTCAGTGCTGATGGGTTTTTCTGGTTTTAATTCATAGCTCTGATCTTCTAGGCAAATGTCATAAAACAGTGTTTTCCTTCATCCCACAGCCACTATGTTCTATGTTACAGGGGTATTTATCACAGGAATAGAAAGGAAATATTTCAGCAAAGTATTCTTGAGAGACAGCTACAGTCCCAAAGCAAAATAACATCAAAATTTCCAGATGCTCATATCCGGAGCCTGACTTGGGTTCAGTTCCTGCTCTGTGGCAATACCTTTACATTTCTTTAAGACCTTTCTTTGATGAGTACTAAAATACTATGCAAATATTAATCTACCATGATTTGCAATATCCTGCGAGGTAAGTACTACCAAACCTGCTTCACATCTGGAGAGAAACAATACCCATATGAATCTGCTTATGCAGAGGTCACAGGGCACGTTTTCTTTTAGATTTTTTCTGTTTAAATCCAAAAATTGTCAATCAACCTTTTTTTTTTTTTTTTTTTTCCCCCTTTTTGGGGCATGACACTAAAATACATAAGCAAAGCTTGGCTGAGATATAAGGAAGTTCAAATCCAGGGTCAAATCTCCGCTTGAGCCCCCATCAACAATTTGTGTAGGACAGTGCTCTAAATGCCAGGCAGTCTTCCACGGACCTGTAAGTGTTACCTGCACATGGAGCAGGGTGCAGCATCCCCAGCTCTCTACTGAGACACCTGGAATAGCTGTTTTAAAAAAGGCATGCAGAGAACAGCTGCAAAATTAGGCTCTTAAATCTGAGCATTGCATCTGTCAGAACTGCAACTTCTTCCTGCCATCACACCAAACCTGCCCAAGGCTGATGCCTCTCTCTGTGCCTCCCCAGTGATTGTAATTCTTATCCAGCATTATCTTATCTGGAGCTATTACTGTGTAAAATGCCGCCTTATTTCCTTACTGCCTGAAGCTAGCCCAGGCCTCTCTCCTCATTATGTTATAGCAACCACGGGAGAAAGTGAAACAGGTCAACCGCTCACGCTCTGTCTAGGATTCCAGGCAGGACTTTTGCACATGCAAGTGCTGCCGGTGCAGCGTGCAACCGGGGGCAGGGGCCCCAGAGCAAGAGAGTCTGGGCATGCACAGACTTTAAGGTCAGCACAGAAATATCTATTTGATCAATACTTTTTTTCCTAGGAAAAAAATCTTTTGTTCTAGTTTTCCTTAATTCCACAGCACTGATTTTTAATGATGCATTCATTGGTCAGTGTGGCAAAATACATGAAAAGGTAGGACTTCCTTTTCCTGGATTCCATGGATTTTTGGGGGCCTCTTTGCCCCCCCCCATAGACAGGAAGGGATGCCCAAGAATTTATTTTCTAATGCTCGAACAAAGCATGGCTTTACCTGGAATACTGTGAGGATAGCGGCAGGAAAGGTATCGAAATTTGTGGTTGGTGTTTCATCTTGGAAATTGAATCTAGAGAGAAGTAAGAAATAAAAACAAGAGCAGTAAGGGACAAGCAACTCTCATGCAGTCTCATAATACCTTGTAACCCAAGTCAGAAAGCAACATTTGTTCCACCTGACAATAACACCCCAGGCAACCACAGCAGGGAACATGGTGTCTCTGAGAAGGTGCTTAACAGAACTATTAACAGAAACTCAATTTTATTCCTGGAGAAAATTCTGATGCTTTCAAATTCATTTTCACCCACAATTAAAATGAATGATCAAACTCTCAAATGATTTTGCAGAACAAACCATTCCAAGAAGTTTTCATCCGCAAGTGTAAAACCCAAAACTGAAATTGCACTCTTACTAGATAATTTCATTTTATTTTTTAAAGATAAAATAGTGATTGAAAAAAACAAACAAACAAACAAATAAACGTTATTTAATTTTAAAATTTATGCTGGAGCTTAAGTGGTAATAGTGATACTTCTTGCTGCAAAATGCATCACATCTGGCATTTCTAATGAGAAAAGTCAGGTTCAGCAAAACTATGTTTTCCAGCAGAAAAATATTCCAAGTGAATAAATATGCTGTCACCCTGGCTATCGGGAAAAGAATTTGCCTTTCCCCTAACAGTTGAAAAAGTGCTGTCTCCTCTTGTCCTATTTCAGAGGTCTGAGTGTACATGGGGACCATGGAATGACATAGGAGCTTTGAATTAGGGTAACCAGAAAGAATTCAGCTCCAGGTAAAACACCAGAACAGGAACTATTTTCCCATAAGCCAGAGACCACTTCTCAGCAGAAAGACTGACATCTGCACCCACGCTGAGAATCTTTCAAGCCCCACAGCCCCTCTCTCCCTTATGCATTCCAGGTGATTGCTTTCAGATTGCCCCTGAAAGGACAATGACTAGTTAGACTTACTGTCCTCCAAAGAGCTGCATCCCCAGCAAAGCAAACACCACAATGAACAGGAACAGGAGGAAGAGCAAACTGATGATGGACTTCATGGAGTTCAGCAAGGAGACCACCAGATTCCTCAGGGAATTCCAGTACCTGCATTGGAGATCAGAGCAGCCAAGAGAGAACAGGTGTGGGAGAAGAGCCTTCAGTGAGAAACTAATATGATCTATTTTCTTATCATAAAAAAGGAAAAGAATGGCAAGGAATATCAGATTCTTTAAACTTTCCTCTATTATTCGAAAATACAGCTCACTGAGCAGCAAACTCTCTTGTAGCATCATAAGGGTCACCTCAGTGCATGTGTACCCATTCAGAGCAGTTGTCTGCAGTGAGTGTTAGGTTTAGTTTCTCAGTAACTCCTTTCCTGGTATAGATTTCAACCTTTCTGCATCTTCTCATCCAGCATGGAAGTCAGCAGGGGTGTCAAAACCAGGGATGTATCGATATCATCAAGGTGAGACTGGACGGGGGGCAGTGAACCCCTCCCTTTGTGAGACACAAATCAGGAATAAACAGCTCGTTTCCACCAGGACAACTTAGCAGTGTGTCCTTCCAACTGGTCCACTTGCCAGTATCCACAAGTGGAGTTACACTCCCATAGGTTTAAACATTTCTGTAGACATTTAACACTCACATTCACGCACAGAGATGACTTCAGTGTGGGGCAATTCAGTCACACAGTTTAAGCATCCAGGACCGAGCAATCACCTCGGAGGATTAAAACAAATCTGGGACATTAACACCAACACGGCAAGAGGGAACGGCTCAGCCTGAATCCTGACTGACACATCCAAGTTGTATCTGGCCAAAAACTGAAGTTATTTTGCTTTTATCTCCCCTGTCCCCCCGAGACAGCTCCTGGCACACTCGCAGGCAGGCACGTCGAGTCACGGCGTGCCGGTGAGGGTGCTCAGAAACAGCTCTCTTTCCTGGCTTTATTACCCTGCTGAGAAAAGGCAGGGAGTATTTATATTAGGAAAACTAATGAATCAGAAAATGCAGAAAGAGCTATTAAGGAGAGGAGCTTTTTGACGATCTCCTTTTGGACAGACAGGCATTTGGAACAAAGGGACTCGAGTAGGCAGTAGGAAACAAGTGATTTTAGAACTATTTCACATGTTCTCTGCTAAGAGTTTTCACTCAGATCATGGGGGGAAATTTTTCTCTCTTTTTCTCCAGTGACCTCTCCCGTTTTCACCACCCGGCATTGGGAGCTGCCATCCAGAGATCACTCTCTGCAGCAGCATCCCACTCTGTGTCTCCTACAGCTGCAGTTTGGGGGACAGACCCATTCACTGAGCTGCCTCCTGCAGTGCAGCTGTGGGTACCCAGCAGAAGGAAGCCCATGGATTTGTCTGTCTGCTGATGGGAAGAGAAGCTCAGAGCTTGAGTCAGAAGAGCAAAAATGCCATCCTTTCTCTTTTCTTTGTCTTCATTTTCCTCTTCCTTCCCCCAGGTGTAGCTGCAGCGACTGAACCAGCCAACGTTTCTCTGTGCTGAGGTTGATAGAGGCACATCCATCCCAGGAGGAGCAGCATCTTGCACTCCCATTGCACCCATTCCATGAAAAGTTATGTCCACAATACAGTGACAGAGGTGTCAGGAGAAACTTTGGTCTCTCAGGAGAATATCTTCAATTGAAAAAGTTGCAACCAAACCTACTCAGGGTTAGCCCCTAAGCAAAAAGGACTGAGCTGCTCTCCTTGGAGGAGGAAGGGTTTGCTGATCACAGGGCTCTCCCCTGCTTGGCACAATGGCTTCAGGCAAAATCTGCCACAAACAAGGGGTTCGCACCTTGCAGTTAACACAGCTGGACACAAAATACATGTGGAGGTTTTGCTTTGTCCTGGAATAGCTCAGCACCAAATCCTGGCTGACTACAGAGCACCAAGATATAATGAGGAGTTGCATTTCTGCAGATGCCAGTTTCCATTCAGTTCTGTCATGACAGAGAGGAAAACATGTAAAGCTGTTTTATCCTTGCCCTCCTCGTTGAATTTTGGCTCCTCTTAGGCTGTGTCCCCTCATAGCACATCCTACTACCACCTTTCAGGCCGGCTGCAATTTAACTTTAACTACTGCATTGCTCTGCTGTCTGCAGTCACACTGATTTTGGACATATGAATCAAAAGGTCTAATACTACCAGTTAGTCAAAGAAGGTGGGCTGCAACTGGCCTCTGCTAAACACAGAGGAAAAAAAAAAAAGCAAAACAAAAAAAAACAACCAACCAACCAACAACAAGAAAAAAAAAAACAACAACAACAACAAAACCAAACCAAAACAAACAAAAAAACCCCAACAACAACAACAAAAAAAAACAACCAACCAAACAACAAAAATCAACAAAACAAAACAAAAAAAAAACAGGGCAGGGAGCTTCAGAGAAAAATTGCTATGAAAGAGATGGAAAGGGGGAAAAAAAGAAAACTACTGAAGATCAGGATGCTTTCACAGTAAGGACTGTAGCGAGCGCAGGTGGGTAGCAATCTGTGCCTGGTGCCACTGCTTTGGTCTCTCTCCATGAGTTATGCTGGGACTGAGCTGTGCAGCTCAGGCACTGGGGTAACAGGGCCCAGCACAGCTGAGATCCCCCTTGTGAGCTGGGGGGGACCTCTCTTCTGGTAACACAATGAACACCCTTCTGTCATGTCAGGTGAAAAACCCACATAATGAGGTCAAGGGAACTTCAGCATCAGTGGAGTGAGAATTTAATTCACTGTTCTGAGAAGGGGGAGAGCACGTGACTTGCTCCATGGTATGCTATGTTATGTTAAATCTTGGGTTTCATCCTTTTATTAAGTTGGCTAAAATCCTGAAGAGTCAAAACTCACAAAAAGATCATTTTAACTTGCAAAAATGTCCAAAATTTTTAGGAAGTACAACATGCAATCAGATACACTGAATAAAATAACTGCTGACAATTAATTGCTATGAATTTGCTACAAAACCTGGAGTTTACCATAAGTAAGATTAGTGCAAAGGTAGACTATAGTGACATTTCTGGAGCAGGTGCCCACCTGTTTTGCTGGATATTTACAGAACTTAATGTTTTCAACCCCTTTGTCCCACAGTACAACACACACAGTAGCATACACAAATCTTGGATCTGCATAATGATTAGCAGATACAAATCAGCAAACCCTACAGAGCTAACAAAACCTGTGCGTTTGAATAGCTGTGAAAGTACCTGGTTACTTCAAATGCTTGCTTTGTTCAAATGTGATAACCTGTCCTCTACCTATTTGAGGTGGTTGGGTTTTTTGTGGAGGGAGGTGCTATTCCTCCTTTTGTTACTTCAAGCCAAGAACAAGTAAGAGGGATCTGAGGAGGCAATAGTGTAAAAAAAAAAAAAAAAAAACTTGGAAAACAACAGCAGCACCTAAATATGTCATCAATTTCCACACCACAATTTTGAAATCCTCCAGAAATTGCTCTAGATGGATTTATAAATTCCACAGTAGTTGTTGGTTAATGCTAGCACACATTAACACAATGCATGAACATGAAAACCACTGAAAAGCTGTGGCAAGCCAACCCTAGTGAATATTCAACTTCACAGGTCACAGCTGAACACCTCAGACATTCCCAGAACAGACACGGCACAGGCAGCAGCAACACACTTCGTATTTGTGTCAACACAGTGGTTCAGGGACAGGGATTTATCAGTAGCTAGGGTAGCTCAGTTTTCCAGTTCCTAAATACTTAAGGAACAATCACCAGATCAGTAGCAGATAAAGAGAGTGGGCAGTTGATGGGGCTTAGAAAGTAAATAAGGAACTTTTTTCTCTTACCACAGAAATAAGGGATCACCTTACGAGATTTTTTGTTTTAAGCAAGCTTAAAAACAAAGAAAAGAAGGTTGCTCTCATGCAGCCCATCACTACTACTCTGGAGCCCTCTGCCCAAGAGTAGGCAAACCTGTACGTGAGGCTGGGCAAAGGGCTGTTAAACATCTCTGTGGGTGCAAATACAGGCTCAGGAACTCCCTAAACTCAACTGCCAGAAACCCTGATTGCCCAGCCAAGGAAAAGGCAATTCTGCATCTGCACTTGTCTTCTGCTCCTGCCCCTCATTAGGGCCAGTGCAGACATAGGATGTTAGGACAGACAAGACCTTTGTGCCAAATAATACAGGGAGGTTGGGGGGTTTCTTTCTGGCAAACTTTTTTCTTTTTTCTTTTCTTTTTTTTTTTTTACAAGTGTGGAAAACACTACTACTTGCTGTGGGGCTGGTGATACAGATTTCATATGGTGCTAAAAGTCTAATATGAGAGGAAAGGGAGCTGGACTTACTTTGTTACTTTGAAAATCCTCAGCAGTCGAAGTGCTCTCAATACGCTGATGCCAAATGAGGTACCTGGTTTCACTGCAGCCCAAATGACTTCAAATATACTTCCCACGATGACCTGCAAGAAGAGTCCATTTTACATAAGACAAAACTTCTGCTTAGTTCTTTGTGGTGCTTCTAGAGAGGCTGAGGACAGAAGAAGAATCAGAACTTGGGCTGTGATGGTTTTCTTATGAAAACTTCAGCAAAATCATGAATTAGCCAACAGCACTGAAAAACCTTCTTCCAACTTTCTACAGTCCAGTCTAAAAAAGAGCAATACTTAGAAGCAGGACAGATGCATAGGAGATCACAGATAGGAACTTGTTGCTTTCTTCTCTAGCAAGCAAACTACCTTAAAATAACCTTTTCTGACAGACACCATACTTTTCCTTTTTTTTTTTTTTTTTTTTTTTTTTTTTAACACTGGCTCAACTGCAAATGCCAACACTTCATTTCCCCCCTGCATGCAGTCGGTCTGTACAGCCTGCAGAGATGCAGGGGACCACTGCCCTGTCCTCCCCTTTCCATCAGAAGGACCAAAAGTCTTCACCCTCAGCACTGCAGAACAGTGAAGCATTAGCTCTGGACAAGATCTACCAGAAACTTCTGGCAACTGAGAGTCTTTAGGGGAGTGATTAAGGTAATAGCTATAAGAGATCCTGCAAAGCCTCTAGCATGCACATCCAATTGTCCGCCAGGCCCTCAGCCTTGATTGTCTCCAATCAAGGTGTTTTTTTGTTTTGTCTGTTTGTTTGTTTTAAGGCTGTCAGAGAATTAACCTCAAGTGATAAAGAAATCTTCTCTGAAATTCTTTATTACAAAAAGGACAAAATAGTAATGGGTTAAGAACAATTAGAAAGGGCAATTGTATCCACACAGGTTACTGCACAGTTAATAAGAGAAAACAGGCGTTTCGCTGACAATTGCTGTTATTACTTGCATTATCCTAGCATTTCAGAGCTCCCATGGACCATGGTTCCCAGTCGTGCAAAGCACACCATAAACACGTTATCACTGGACCCCAGTGAGCAGCTGGTTTGTGTTGTGAGAGGGAGTGTTAATGGGGAGTCAGGGCGGCAGAGCTGTGTCTCAACACCTGAGTGGTGCTGGGAGACTCAGCAGCCTGGAAACCCCTTTGATAAACAGAAACCTGGACTTCTTTTGAAAACTACAGCATTGCTTGCAGCTGCTCTGCAAGAAATGCTGTTCCCTGAGCTTCAAGAAAACGTAGCGGGAAAGGGAGACACACAACAGTTGCTCATCCAGTTTCTCCCATCAGAAAAAGAAGGAACTAAAACTTCTCTCCCACAGCCTATGACTCTTGAGAAACCCTCACAAAACAGCAAAACCCTTTCCTTAGACCCTCCACATGTTACGCTGATAATTAATTTTCCTGGCATCTCAACCATGGCCTCCTGGGACCTTGTTTCACATGAGACCTCACTGGACTGTTTCTCCCAAGACTGATGTTGCTCTGATTTGTTGTTTCACTTTTTGCATTTAAACGGTTTCATCTTGATGGTTTGACAAACTAAACTGACTGCAGGTGTGTGTGATCTTCCAGTGGGGGTGAAGTAGCTGGATTAATTCTGGGGGATGGAAGGTGGGTGATGAGGGAGAAAGAAAAGATAGAAGATCCCTACACATTCTCTAAAGGAGAAAGAATTAGAAACAGAGCAACAAGTTTTACCCCCTGGGAAACACTCAGCAACTAACTAGGCAATATTGCTTGTCCACTAAACGTCTTCCACTCAGCTCACAGAAGCTGTGGTCTTTGGGCATGCACGGAACTTACTGAAAGCTGGGTGTCAGTCCCCTTGTATTCTGTGGGCACACTCTTCATTCCAGCCTTTGCAGGACATCTCACCAGTACAATTAAACCTTGCCATGGGTTGGCCGCCTTCAGTTCAGCGGCGCCTCTTTGCCCCTTGGATTCGGTACCAACTCTGAATGTGAAGACATCCCGTTATCTTACATTATATGTGTTATTTGTGCTCTGGTTTCCTCTCATGACAGTTAGAGCCTGTGTATTATCTTTTAGGCTATGCAGCCAGGAAGAGCAGCACAAGGCATTTCAATGTTCTGAGCCTCCACCAGCTGTGATGGACACTCCAGAGAGGAGACCCCCACACTTGGTGCAGCCCAATGCAGCACCTCAGTTTGCTGGACACAGGTGATTCTTGGGCTGGATGGTTTAATCTTTATCAAGCTATGAGATTTCCTGCTGACACTGCCAAAAAGAGAAGTTGGCTCTATGTGTAGTCTTGGATTTAGGAGTGGTCACTTAACAAAGCTAATACCTCCTCCTCACTTGTGGAAGCAGAGCTGAAGCAGGGAATTTTTCTCCACGGGGGAGAAGAATCACTCCCTACATTTTGGCAGATGAAGACTAGAAGTAACAGCGTAAATATTGGAGAGAAGGGCTGGCTGACGTGTACAATGACCAGAACTGTCCTCCCCTTGCCCATGGCTGTATCACAAGCTTCATATCTGGTTTGTTAAATAAACCTTACAGACTAGTTCACTCCCTGGGATGCAGAGCTCAGCCCACACTAAAGGTAAGTGAAGCCAAGTTAACCTTTGTGAGGACAGATTACCGTCTAATAGCTTTTAATGAATAAATTAACCTCTGCATGCAACGTTCTCTGTTAGACGGAGTCAAAACTGGCCCCCTGTCCTGGGTTGAGTGAGTGGTGGAGTTTTTTGGTGGCAGGGGAGGGGGCTATCGGGGCGGCCCCCTGTGAGAAGCTTCTCAAAGCTCCCCCAGCTCCACGTCAGCTCCACTTCTGTTTGGGAAATTGAGCCAATCGGCTGCACCTCTGCAATAATGTATTTAAGAAGGGACGTGGTGACGGGCGGTCGGACTTGTGAGGAGGAGTTGCTGCAGCTGCGTGAACACCAAGGTCAGTGGAGGAATGGAGGAAGAAAGGAGGGGGGAGGTGTGCCGGAGCAGAGACCCCCCTGTATCCTGTGGGGAGACGGCAGGGCGGCCCCCCCTGCCACCCATGAAGATCTACGGTGGAGCAGACATTGATTTGTGGCCTGTGGCTCCTGCTCGGAATAATCAAGGTTCTGTGCCCGAAGAAGGCCGGGGTCTCATGGGAAAAGGCAGCCCCACTGCTGTAATTCAGTGCTGGGAGGATTGCAGCATGCGGGGGAGTCCCACGCCGGAGCAGCTCGGGAAGGGCTGCAGCCGTGGGAGGGAATCCAGTCGGAGGAAGTTAGTGACCCATGACGGAGCAGTGTGGGGAACACTGCGGCCCGTGGGAGGAATTCAAGTCAGAGAAAGTTTGTGGAGGACTGTCTGCTGTGAGAGGGGGACCACGATGGAGCAGGGGGTAACAAGTTTTGGACACTCCCCTCACCGAAGATGAAGGAAGTGGCAGCACTGACTGCACCCCCATTCCCTGCCCCTGCGCCCCTGGGGGAGGAGGTAGAGATATCGGGAGCAGAACTGAGCCCGGGAAGAAGGGAGGGGTGGGGGGAAGGTGTTCTCAAGATGTGGCAATGCTTCTCACTGTCCTACTCTGTTATGTGTTGTTAGTGTCTGTAATAAATGTATGTTCTTTTTTTTTCCTTCCCCTAACGAGTCTGCCTTTTGCTCGTGATCATAAAAGGGGGATTTTCCCCCATCCCAGTCCTATCTTGAACCCCAAGCCTGGCTCTCTGTCCCTTCTCATTGCCGGAGGAGAAGGGAGAGAGAGGTGCTGCATTGTGGTTGGCTGCCAATCAGGCCTAAACCACGACACCCCACTATTCACACTTCAAAGCTATAGCTTTAGCACAAAGGGGAGAGCCTGTAGTTCTGCAATAAAATGACGTGAGTTACTGCTTTTCTGTCACCTAATCATGTGTTTAGACTTCTACTTCTGGGTACTCATGTTTGAAAAGTGCTGCCTATGTATCCTGAGGTAAAGGCTATTAAACGGATGATAGGGGAGATGAGCAATAAGATGTGTGGGGGTTTTGTCTTTTAATCACCTCATTTAAATGGGAGAGAAAACCTCTCCAGTAATCAGAGCATTTACTGGTGCTGATGCTGTGAACACCCTGTAGCTTGCCAAGGAAATGAAACCCCCAGCCGTCACATTTCTTCAAAAAGGATCATAACTAGGGGAAGCTTAATGTGTTTCACTGCAGCTAATTTATACAATGACTACTCCCCGCAGAAGACACTGACAGCACCACTTCCCATGGATTCCCATACTCACCCTTAAACGCCCAACGCCACTGAATAACAGGAGAGCCACAGACTTCACCCACACAGCTGAAGCCTACTCACCCCAAAGTCAAAGCAGTTGAATGAAGAGTGGAAGTAATTTCTTGGCCCCAGCCCATACATCTTCAAAGACATCTCAGTAAGGAACAGACCCAGAAAAACAAACTCTGCAAAATCTGGAAACGGGAAAAGATATTAAATTAGCCAACAAGACCTTGGTAAGCAGATATCTTCATGTGGGGAACAATGGTAATTTTTCACAACACAGATTGCCTCCTGCCAGAAAAAAATCCCTTTGCAATGGCAAACAAGACCCTGAGGACAGTTTCACAAAATTATTTCTATATGCACGTGAGCTGTATTCAGCCTTTAAGAACTGTGAAGGCAATGTTTCATTTGTACTGTGGGGAGGTTGTTATGAGCATTAAATAATAATCTCATCATCTTTGTAAAGGAATTTCAAAAGAAAGCTCTGGATCTAATCTTTCTAAAGGTCTAATTTAATTGCACAGATAATGTTTTGCAAATGTATGTTTGGGACTTCTGTACCTACACGAGATGGGCACTTTTGGAAGCGGGGTGTAAGCTTTTATAACATCCTCTCATGATAAAAATACCTTCATACCCAACAGAACTGCTGCCTCTGAGAGCTCATAGTCAAAGGTGTTGTGTCTACTGTTAGCACGTAGCCACATTTATTTTTATTATGCCTTTCTAACCATATAATTATGGAAGCACAAGTTCTGTTTTCTTCTGCTTCACATATCACAGGCAAATAGGCTGTGAAGCTTTTGATGGGAAAATTTATCACCTATGATGAAACAAAGGGCAGAAAGAAAATAGCTGGAGACTTCAATTTCCAGATCAAGTTTTTAGGACTTGAAGCTACAGAAAACACTGCCTTTGGCATTTTAAGTCATACAAGTTTAGATCTGGAGGCCAATAAGCAGTGGCAACAATGGAATGTTAAAAACATGCGAAAGGGCAAAAACCCTCTACTCTACCAAAACCAACCAAATAGCATAAGGCAAACCTCTCCCTCTAGAGAAAACATGAGGAAAAGAATCAAACTTCTAAGGGTGGAGATTAATCACATTGCTCAGCATGGTACGGAAGGTTCTCAGATGCTGTAGCAGCACAGATGCTACAGGAAAGTCATCTTCTGTAATTTCAGTTTTACAATTCCAGGAATGACAAAGACAAGATGGTGCCAAACTTTTCTCAAAGGTGCACACGGACAGAGAAGGGGCAACAGATACAAGTTGCAACAAGGAAAATTTCAGCGAGACAATCCTGAATCCCAGCTGCTTTGTACAGCTGCTGCAATATGTGGCTTCGACTAATGCGCGCGAGGAAAGATCGAGGAGGGAACGAGGGTCCTTTCAAACTGCACGGCTTTCACCCCATTCACTGCTGGGCACATTCATACTGAGTGAGCACAGTTGGCCCAGGTCCATCTCACATTGCTGCTTGTCTTTTGAAATTGCTTGAAAAATAACAGCTTCAATTATCAAAAAATAAAAAAGAGGTTTAAATTTTAAATGAAAGACAGTCATGAAATATCATGGGCACAAAGTTAACTAGATGAAAAAGGTTCTATTAACACTTTTGTGAAGAGCCTACAAGGACACTTCTGCCAACATTTGCAATAGGGGAGGAAATACCAAGAGGGTATTAATTATACCATGTAACATACTCTCTTTTAAAATAGGAGCAATATCATTAAAGGAGACTATCAAGGGCAAAGTGTTCACATGAGAGGAATAAGATGATAAGCTATGAGGTCTGCAGACTTCTCAGCCTTTTTCCTACCAAGAGGTAGGCTCTATCTGCTGGACCTCTGTGCTCAGGGGAAGGCATGGTCACATGAAGGAACAGCACACCTCCACCTCCCTTTGAGCTTGGGACTTGCTAGGAGAAGCATGCTCACACATGCCCCATGCTACAACTTTTCTCTCCTTTCTGACATCAGACACAACAGTTCAGTAAGCAAACAGACTGTGTTTCCAACACAAGGGACCCTGGAGTTATCCACAGTTACACTGGCAACCCATCTGACTATATGAGTGCAGAGAGTGTGAGAAAGAAACCAGGTGAACCAATGCCAGATATAAAATGAGATGGCTGACAAGTCCAATAATATAATAATACAGAATTTTTAAAAAACCTTTGTTCAGTGGTATTGCGTTTCCTTGCACATAATTTAAAAAAATGCAATTGTGAAGTAGTAAGAATGTTAAAATCTTTAACTATTAATAGCTGGCCCTGTAAATCAGAAGCTTAAGCTAGCTTCCAGACCAGATCCTGAACTTCCATTCTGCACCCTATGTACTTTGGAATGGTAAGAAACAGAAGGCAAAACTCCCCCAATAAAGCAGATGCATCTCTCTGGGTGTGGATGAATTTGTGCTGCTGCTGTCACCTCTTTCAGTCATTAGCCCAGAGGGAAAGCTTGCACCAGCATTTGTGCTGACACGAGTCTCTCCCTTGCTGGGGAGTTATCACTCCCATCTTTGGTTTCACGCTCAGCAAGCCTGATGGTGCTTACTGGAATGACCTCAATGTAAAGTCTCTGTATCACAAGGATTGGTATCAAACCAATGCTTTGAAACCGGTGGCCTTGCTTAGTTAGCAGACAAAACTTAAAATCGTAGGAAGGGACTGTATATCAAACCTAGAGAAAGCATTGCACAACCTCCACCTGCCTCATATCTCGCTCTGGCAGGGAGATTCTTATCCTCTTATTTATCCACCAGACTTGACTCTGAGTTATGTTCCAGGTATGCCCCATCTTCTTTGACAGAGTAACAAAAATACTAGGTAGGGGTTTTTTTCACTGTCATTTTCACCAACAGATCTCAATACACTTTGCCAAGACAATTTACAACATTTCAAGAGAAGAAAAAGGAGGAAAGAAACAACGATTAATGTTCAGTCACCAATCCAACAGAAGTATGACCTAAACCCAGGTATGAACAAGTGCAATGTTCCGTCACCAGACTGACACATCCAGCAAATGCACATACAAAACCAGAATATCATAGGAGAAAAAAAGCTAGCAAATGCCCTAAGTAAAACAGAATCAATAAATATTTGATTTAAAAAAACAAAACAAAAACACAACAGGAAAAGCTAGAAACTCAGAACATCCAAGAACCAACTTCTGCTACTCTTGAAAGAACCACCCAACCTGTCCTTTCACAGCTGATGACTTCCATCGAAAACAGAGTTCAAAACAGGCAGCAATAGCTATATTTCAGCACGTACCAGATGCTACAAATCATAGCACTGTGAGAACAAGGGATGGAGGCAAGGAAAATATGGACATAGTGAACTCCTTGGGCAGAAGGAATTGACTCAGAATGAATCAGCTTCTCCAGTGGATGGATCAGAAACACGATTTCTTCTGACATGGCCCTGCCCATATAATTGAAAAATGCAATTTTGTTGTTTGGACCGCCTGGTATTCAGACCCCGCATGTAATTTAATCTGCCTTAAGCAGAAGCATTTTGTAATGTGATTTAAGGAAAAAAAAAAGTTTGATACAAATACTCTTATTTAATTTCAAGTTTGTGCTATTGGCAAAGACATGCTAGCATCTTTGTGCCCCATACGTTTGAATTAGACAGTTAGCGGCTCTTCTTTGTCAATCACCCATGGATTAATTCCATTTCTCCCCTGTCTCCCAGTCCAATGTTGTTAGGAGCAGGTGTCGAGCCTGATGCTTTGGTTTTCTCTACTTATTCTCCTTGCACATTTAAACCAATCAGGAGAACCTTGATGAAGAACAACTTCCTCCTGTTTGACAAAGCAAACATGAAATGTTCAGCAGACATAAATAAATATGCTTCCTTCAGAAAGTCTTTTCCTCACAATTTCAAATGCTGCATATTTATATCCGGAGGGATCTGGCTATCTACTTCAAAGGCAAATACATCATCACCAGAAAAGGCCTAATTGCACCAAGCACACAGATCAGCATTGCATGGCACATAGGGAAGACGTTCTCAGGCCATAATGCCTAAAATTCTGTTTTCAAATATTGTATTTATCAGAAAGGAGACATTCTGGACCTTGTTTATAGACAGATATAAACTTAGGAGCAAGTTAAGGATCACTGTAATGTTAGCTGGAAAAATACGGAGAGCGCTGCTTCTGAAGGGCAGCCACCAGAAAAGGGAAGCCTGATAGAGGGATCACAAGTGAAATCTTACTGATCCAATCCTAAATAAACCTTCTCACCATGTTCCCTAAAGCCTAACCCATGGAGGCCAGAGAGCTCTGGTTCCAGGCTTCTTCCACCGCTCTAGCCCAAGGAAGAGGAGACCATCACTAGCACCATTGTCTGCTGGCCGGCACAGCACAGGGCACACAAATGCATTCAGCTGTTTCTACATCAGGCTTGCAACTTCTGCTCAAGGTATAGGATGTATTTTAAACAGGCACAGTCCTGACTGAAAATCCCTTAACGCTGCACCTCTACTGTGTGACTACATTATGGATTTTGCTGGTTTCTTGCCCTCAGTTGAAGATGCATCTTTGCTACTACTACATCTCAGTGATGCTTTTCTAGGCTAAATTAGAGAGTTGTCTTCTGACAGAAGTCTCTTCTTTCTGAGAATACTGGCAACGGTGGAAATTAATGCAAACAGATGACACTCACGTGTTGCTGCATGAAATACGTACTTTTATAAAGAACTGCAACTTACTTAACCAATGGTCAATGCACTCCAGTGAGCAGAATATGCCATGTGTCCATGTGCAGAATGAGAAAACTTCTACTGCAATTTGGCACTGGAGTCCTTTCCATGCAGAGAAGGAAAATATCTGATCTGATTTCAGGATAATTACAGGGGCATAAAATATGTTCTGTTATGCATCATACCCCAAGAATTCAAAGAATTTCTCCTCAGCTCTTTCAATAAGACTAAAGAAATCCCAAGCTCCTTTCTAAAGCTCCTACAGTTCCTTTTCCAAGCAGTTGCAGCAGTATGGAATATCAAGCAGAGAAAGCTAATCAGAACAATTCAAGAACAGAAAAGTTAAAAGAAAAGACCAAGGGAAAAATAAATCAATGCAGACCCGTAGGCTTTTACCAACCGTTCTTTAAGTAAAATTAATTTGTAATGTAATCAAACTTATCCCTGGAGGGACAGGTATAATTGAATTAGAGGTGCCTGGGTAGAGTTTCAGGGTTTAGTGGATCCTCCCAGATGTTACCGCACCGCTCTCCCACTGCTATAGTTCGCAAAACTCCTCAGCAGTTCATTTCTAAGCACCTTCCATGAAAAAACATCATTAGAATTGGCTACTTCTCTCTTCCTCTACATCAGACTAGCCAAGTTCTGCTCCTCTGTAGTGAAGTTCATTCATCGTGGATTAACTTTAAAGCCATTTTTAAACTCTGCCACTCTTACAGTTAAAGGATTTTGCCAAGCATTTCCAGGAGCTGTTTAAAATCCCCTGGTTTTGTGATATCTTGTTCTGCCTATATCTAATGGATTTGTGCACAAATCTTGGGCAGAACAGGGCTTTCAAGGAGCACTCCTCGAGGGCTAAATCACAGCTGGGCTCATTCATAAATGTATTTACTGCAAGGCTAATCAGGCTGGCTGTGGTTTAGTGCATGCAGGAGTGAGAGAGACCAAGTATAGTCTTAGCATGATTGCAATAACAAAACTACCAGTTAGCCCACGCAAAGTCCCAGTACCTTAAAGCAGAAAATATTCCCTCCATTCAGTATTGAACTTTAGATTAGTATGAAAGATTATGCTATGAAAACTATACCATCTCCCAGGAAAACAGGCAGAAACCTTTAGGTCATTACCAATGCAAAGACATGCATGAATACAATACTGCAGCTCATCATCCTGAGAAGCTGGGAGGGTTTGGAGGTACAGGACTCTTGTAACCTAAGAAGCTGAATTTGTAAACCTTTTCAGTGGATAATTCTCAGAAGCTCTTTGTTCTAAAATTACGTTAAAATAGGTTTCTTCCCAGAGTTTCTATTATTACATGCTGTAAAACAAACCAGAGACAATCCTCCCCAGAATGAAGCCATGGAACCTCTGCTTCTTGTCTCAGAGAAAACTATCTTTGCAGATAGAAAAACAAACAAACAAACAAGCAAAACCTAAAACAAAAATAAACACAACAAACAAACAAACAAACAACAAAAAAACAGCAAGAGAAAATTATGTAAAGTACCTTAGAATTTTCATGATGACTATTCATTCTGCATCTCTTGCTTTTATACTCTGTGTCACGGTGGCTAATCTTGTATCATTCCATTTAAAGACCCAATGTTTATATCTATACGAGAACATCCACAAAATCTACAATTCCTCAGATATTCTGGTATTGTCTGTGACCCACCAGCGTGTTGCCGCTGACCAATTACAGCTAGTATTTCTTTTAGTGAATCTAAGGGGCTGATTTGTGAAACAACTGTCCAGGTGTTTCCTTATTGACAAAGGACACCCAAGACTTACAGTAAATGGCAGGACAGTGATACAAAGACATATAAAGGGCAGACGAGTCACAGGAAGGCACCTATGACTGGGAGGATGCTGAGTATTCAACTCCTTGGTGCTTTTCTGACGTTTTCATTAAAAATAAGTCAACAGATTCACTCTTTCTTAGCCAGGTGGTACGCTAGCACCAAGAAATCAAAGCATGCTACCCAAGTGTTTCTGAAACTAATTCACAATACTGGGTGTTATGGCACATGCAGAGCTCCTGAAAGAAGGATCCACCCCAATGCCTGATCCCAGGCACAACACAATTTCAACTTTCCCTATTTTTTGTCTTCAGCTGAGGTAGGTTGGGAGCCTAATTTGTGGCTTCTGTCACAGATATGTTTCCCACCTGGAGGTGTACTTTTAATCCTAATCAACAGAAACACCTCTTCCAGTTCTCATATGAACGTTAAGTAGAAGTTGCTGGCTCATGGATTTCTTTATGTTCTCTTAGAAAAATTACTGCATAAGGTGTTCCCAAAATTGAGCTTGTAAATTTGAAGTCTTCTTTTTTGAGTTGAAAGACTTAAAGTGGTTCTTTTTCCTAGACATTTAGACCTAATTCAAGAAGAAATCCTAAGCCTCAAACTTCTAATTACTCTGCCAATCTAGCTTATTATTTCCTATTTTAAATTTAGGAAAAGAATAAGCAGGACTGACATCTTTGTGTAGTCTGTATCTCTTTTCACTCTGAATCTTGAAGAAAAAAAAAAAACAAAACCAAAAAAAACGAGAGCTGAAAGAAGTTTTTGTCCTTCTTATGCATCTCTCATTAAAGCTCCAGTTACCTGGTGGTATTAAATATTTCAGCACAAATTAATAGGGAGGTTTTTGAAGTCAGAGCAGCTAGTATTCTTGACATTTTAGGTCTATACAAAAAAACTTCAAAAGTTGGCTTCCTTATAATAAGGTAAGAGCTGAGGATCTGGGGCTAGAAATATTTAAGTATCTAATTTATACAGAAATCAAGGAAAATTAGGTAGATAAGTATCTTTAATGATCTAGGCCAAAAATATTAAGTCAGACTGTTTAAAATATTTTGGGTTTTTTTTCCTAGTCCTCTGTTTGCTTGTTTCAGAAGTTTTACATAACAAACTCTGAACTAGCCACATCTGAATATCAAGTGCTGAACAAGATTTGTTCCTGGCCGTTTTATAGAGTCAGAAGCAGCCAATGCAGTAGCTCTGTCTTCCAGAAGCCCACTCTCCATCCCTTCCCTTCAGAAGGAAAAGCTTGCAGTGCCCCACTTTCAGTGTCCCTATATTCTTACCTTACCAATTTCTACAAGTTTTCCAGCTGTAGGAGTAATAGCCTACAACCTTAACTAAAACAAACAAAAAAGCTGCCACTCACCTTCCACATTTTTTTAAAACAGGCTTCGTGAGCAAGTCTGCAACCTCAGTGTAACACTGTGATGTGTAAAGGCTCTGATTGCAGAAAACTGCCTTAATTTATTATTCATCATAGGACAAAACACTATGCAATTTAAAAAAAAAAAATCATTCTTCAAAGGCACTTATAGACTATCTGAAGTCTAAACTGATAGGTGACCACAGAAACAAAGCTAAAATAAAAGCTTTTGCACAAATACAGTATAATCTTCTGTATGGTATTATTTCTACCACTACTGCACATATTTTCACAGGAGGGCATCATGACATCTATCCCACATAATCACACACCATTAGTAAGGAAGGCATGATTATCCAAAAAGACCTTCTGTAAAGTTGCAACCTTTTAAAGAATATGACAATAATTGCTACAAGGGTAGCGAATTAGTGTATGATTCTATAAGCACAGATAGACATCTCTCTCCCAGGTAGCACTGGCCATTGTACATGCTGCTATCCCAGGGACATCAGAACTGGCAGAGCTTTAAGTATATCCACAACCAGAATCACCCATGGATTCAGATCAGCTTCAAAGTGCCATGAATTCTGCAGTGCGCTGGGTAGATGCAGATTAGACAGAGAAACCTGCCTTTACCCAAGCACAGAGCCACTCCCCCTCCTTTCATAAAGCCTGCTACAGTACAAATCCTCCTGCCATGTTACAAGATTTAAATGGGGTTGAATCTGAAGTTTCAGATAACATTTAAGACAACATTACCATCTCAAACCATCTCAGTACCATGTCCTGGTGGATTTTCTCTGAATTGTACGACTCAACTAGTCCCGAGTTACTAGAACCACTCATTAATGCATCTCTGACCCTCCTCTGAGGGAGGCATGGGAAGCCAAAAAACTCATGAGGATGCGAGAGCAGTGCTCAGAGTGATCAAAAACGTAAGACCTCGTTAGAGGAAAGGTGGAGTCCCCAGTACTCACACAGCGCAGTGGTGAGCTTCTCCGGCTGGTCGTAGTGCACCATCGCAACGCAGAGCGTGTTGAGGGCGACCACGCAGAGGACGATCCAGTAGAAGCTCTGAGCTTTCACCATGCGCCGAATGAAGAACCGGAACATTTTCTCTTTCCTCCTGAAGTAGGACGAGCTCTCGTTCTTCCCACTCTTCAAACTGGCACGGGCAAAAGGAGACCCTGGGACAGAAAGAAGAGTCACCACACCACATCCCGGCAGGCGAAAGGCCGGGGGAGATTCCTGGGCACAGAGACCCTCTCCCAAGCACCAGAAACACAGCTGAGCGGAAAGCTGGGCACATTGACTATGGGCTGAGCAAGGGCATCTCGCTTGCAATGACATTGTGAGGGATGAAGGCTGGGGTTTTAAAACTTTGTGAATGAATGTCCAGGTCCACCAGCTAAAGAAACCGAGCTTCCAATCCTCTGAAGTGATCTTGATTGTCCCAGTTTAACCTTTAACTTTTGGGTTTCCAGCTGACTGGAGGGTCAGAAAATACCGAGCACAGTGGTATTTCTGCCTGTGGTGTGGAACACATCCTCTTGGAGCTGGGTAACTGGCCACAAGAAAGCTGGTCCCTATTTGCCCTGCTCCAAGGACCAGGCAAAGACCCAACCCTGCCTATGGAATTGAGTGAAGTCTCCTTATTTTACTTTCCAACTTCATGTATTTCTACAGCAGAGGGCTCAATCTGCCTCTATGCATCACATTCTGGGCACAGCTCCTCATTTGTATCAATTCTGCCTATATCAGCTACATTTCGACTCTGGTCTGAAATCCTGGAAAAGAGTCAAATGTTTTAACAATAGGAAGCTGACGGAAGAAATGATTTCTAATGTAAGCTCTCTCCCTGTGGTAGCAGGCACTGTTCAAACGAATGATGAAAAGGCAATCTCCGGCCAGTGCTGAGGCAGGAGAAATCAGCACACGTTAGTAACAAACACGTGCGTCCGTCGGAGTTCCTCCGCAACAGCCGCAGACGCTGTTGCGAGCAGGGAAAATCGTGATTGCTGCAGGCTGTGCAGTACCTGTTTCTCACTGAGCTGGCACCCCTCAGAAATGGCAAGCGAACTTTGCTTCAAGGTGGTTTGTGGCAAGATAATACACTGCTGCCCTTCCCCATCGCGGGACGGAGCCTCCCAGCAGGTAGGGCTGACCAGGACACACACCGTCCTGTCTTGGACCAAGCACCATGAGAGCAGATGACTGGCATGGGCTGTCGATGGAGGTGGCTGAGTTACATGAACAAAGTGTTCTGGCTGCGGCAGCCAAGTTTTTGAGTGCACACACTTACATTTCGACACTTGGAAGGGGTGGGAATCTCACCCTGTTTCATCCTGCAATAACATCAAACACAGCACCCATAGAAAGGATGAAGTGTCCAGATGTGACAGCAATGGGTTTTCCAAGCCTCATAGCTACACATGAGTGTGCTGCGCTGTCTCCCCAACAGAAAGCAAGCTCTCTGCTTCATTTCACATTTCTAGCCATTCAGTAACACACCAAATGCAAAACTGGCCCTGGACAGGCTTTGAACAAACTCCTTGTGGAAAAGCTCAGTGTTGTTCTGTTAATCATTCCTTTGGCAGTTTTTTAAAAAAATCATCATGTTCATCTATTGCTTTAAGACAACAAAATGAACTACAGGTTAAGATACAGCTGCACCGTATCATAATACTGTTTAGCAGGTAAAGACTTCTCAGATATTCAAGCCAGCCTATACTCTCAGATTTGCACGGGAATAGTCTGCTGCCCTTTCGACCCCTCTTTACTAGCTCTACTGATCTTCCAGGAAAAGAGGCAGCAGTAAGGTAGAAAACATCCACTTCTCCAGGCTTCGTTGTTTGGCAATCAAGACAATGCTCTGCATCTGGTACAGCATAGAGGGTGGGAAGCCAGAAGGAGCCAGCATCTACTGCTGCACGCTTATTAGTGCGGAAAGAAGGGCTGAGAGTTAGGAGGAAAGAAAAGAATAAATGTTAAGAACAACTCCAGAGAGCACACCATGAAGTGTTTACCACTATAGAGCTTTATAATGCAATTATAAGGCTCATTGAGGTACTTGTGTTTGAATTAAAGTGCAACATATTCAGTCAATGGCCAGCAAGAGACCTGTCAAAGCCTATACCACTCCAATCTGCATCTTCACATTGCATTCAGTAATTATATTGTTAGTTCTTCCCCACTCCTTATGCTCGCATCAGCAAGACATTATAGAAAACCGTCCAAAAAAACCTTTTCTCAAAAACATATTCTTTATGCATAATTGCCCATATGATCTGATTGTTTATGTTATGCAAAGTTTCAGCCTTTTCAGGAGCCTGCAGAAGTATCTGCTTTATCCATTTCTTCCTTTCTGCCTTGTTCCATGAATCAAAATCAAAAACACTTTTCCCAAGTGGGTGAACCACTCTCAGAAGGTGGAAAGCACTGCTGTTATTTTCCCTGCCATATGCTCCCGAGACAGTTCCCAGCTCTGCATCAGATTATCCACGAGTCCAGATGCTTCATCATCCGTTGCCACCTGAAATGCTGAATTCAAAGATCTGTTTGCATAGCCTGGGTGCCCAGAGCCTGGGGGGACTTGGATGTGAATGCAAAGATCTCATAATTATTGCAACCATGAACAAATGTTCCAAAATTGACCATTCCTGTTATCCATGCAGGGATCTGAGATGCTCAGAATAAAACAAAACAAAACAAAAATGCATACGGTTGCTGCATTTTTGCCCTCTTTCAGAAACAAACTTCTCATAGAAGTGTGAGTAGTTTAGTCACAAAACCTGCATCTTGATCAGCTTGAGGGACTGTGGCAGTTCAACAGTGGATAATGGTGTCAGTAACATGCTGAGCAACATTCATTTCCTGCAACCAGGTCTTCATTTAAAGGGGAAAAAAAAAAAAAAATCCAGCAGCAGCTGTAATCTCTTAAAATGTTAATGCCAAATTTCCAAAGAGCATATGAGGCACTCATGCTTGCAAGCATATATGGACATGTACTCTCAAATGTACTGTTTGTGCTGCTACTCTTTTGCATCCAGGATTTGCTGCTTTGTGGTAACTGGGATGCCAAGACATTTCTTTGGAAGATAATGAGAACATCTGCTGCTTCAGCAGCAAAACAAAATATGGACTCAAACAACAGGGACAGGAATAAGCAAAACAGCTAACTCCAAAGCAGTCAGGAAGATGTCTCCCCAGCCAGCAAGTAAAAGCCCACAGCTGAAAGGACTTTCTGCTGATGTCCGAAGAGCAACCCTTAGGCAGGGTGCTGTGTGCTCAGAGCCTGCCTGCCCTTGCAGACCCCAGGCCTGCCTCCTGCCTCTCCACCGGGCAACGTCTCAGGAGGGAACTGGCTCCCTGGTCACTGCAGAACAAACAGTACCTCTGCGGCCTGACAGAGTCTTATTCTCCAGGGCTGGGTATCAACCCACACCATCAGTGCTTCACTGTGAAGGATGCCACACTCTACATTGGAGATACGTGGGTAATTGCATGCACACAGGTGTGCATCTTCACATCTGGTTTTAAAAATGTGGAGAATTGCTTTCAGACCTTCTTCTAAGGCAAGACTGAGAGAATTAGAGCCACTGCCCAGCATTTCCCAGTAACCACTTGCACGGCAAAGGCTGCAAAACTATACACTGTGCATTAGTGGCAGCTGTGACTAAGTGTCCACTTTCTCTCCTCCCCACAACAGATGAGGCTTAGCAGTATCATTTGATGTATTTGGGCTTCATTAGCATAAATGAGCATGTTCCAGGCAGAATCATGGTATGGTCAACACAGCATGGATTGTCGAAGCATTTTGGCAGGGCTCTTTCAAGGGGTGCAGCATGCAATAGCTGAGCAGGGCAGCGTGGGGGAGAGGGTGAAGCCATGAAGCTATTTCCTCTGGTAAGTTGAGTGCTGCTGCAGGAATAGTGATAGTTCTTCTTGAAACTGCAGCTTCTGGAGCAAAGGAGCCACTCGGAGGAAACACGGCATGAACACATTTAGGTGGAGATCTAAACCTTGGGGAATGCGAAGCCAGTACTCACCAACGGAGCAAATGTCTGTGAAATGGTCCTCACCTTCTTCAGCATGAATCAGGTCATTTTTGCTCTTCTTTATTGCAGCTCTTTTCAACACTGTGTGCAAATTAAAGAGAAAATGCCCTGTGAGCATTCAGAGTGGACTCTCTCTCCCCCTCCCCTTCACTCTCCAGGGCCAGCATTTACTTCCCAATGCCAGCTTAAAGCTCTCACACAAGGGTAAGCTGGAGCAAATCAGACAACCTACAACCTCGCAGGGCCTCCATGTGCTTTGATGCCAGGGTCATTTATTTATTTAACCTTCTAGTTCTTGGAGGTCTGCTCACTTACACTGCACACCAGCAGATGCAGGAGAGTGGGGGAGTCACTGCAGATGCTGGACCTTTTAGCACACCAGAAAGGCTGGGCAGGGTCACTGAATCTTTCTGAGCCCCAGTGGGTTATGAGATGAGTGCTCCTATCCGTTAAAAACATTAATGTTGTTTACAGTGTGCACCATTAAGAAGTTAGCATTTATGGTGCTCGGATACAGTTTACCACAGAGCAATGCCTTAAGGAGCAGAAACGCTGTATCAAAAGCAACTGCCACAAATCAGTGAACATACTCTTTAATAGCACCCACTGTACAATCCCTTCCCTCTGGGGATGTCATAACTCCTTGAAAACACACTTTGTCCAACCGCGTCTTTTGTGGGGAAGGCAAGCATCGCTACACCGTTTTACTCGGCAGGGAAAGAGAACTGTGGCCTAAGGCTCGGAGAGGTCTGCACTGTTCACCCAGTGCACGAGGAGTAACGCAGGAACAGCGTGGACACTGGTCCCATGACCACCTACCTGCAAAACCTTGAGAACTAGCAGAAAAAAATACGTTGATACAGGTTTGCAACAGCTTCAAGACATACAGTAACTAAGCACCATTTTCTATCAGCAGTAAGACACCCCACGGTGTGGTGATACATACTGTTCAGTAGGCACACACAGCAAACCCACTCACTCTGCAGCGACTACCCTGGAGGTAGGTTTGTACGAGATGATCCCCTCACTCTACACAAATTTCCCTGCCTTGACAGAGAAACGGATGTGCTTCTTCCTCCGCAGCTAAGGCAAGCATTAGTGCTTTTCTCACTTCAAGGAAACACCCAGAACATCACCCAGGTTCGGAGAGGCCTGAAGAGGAGAGGATGCTCTGAACCTGTGATCTAGATCCAATTTTTTGCAAATAACCGCTTTTGCTCTTTTCTTCCCCACTCAGCAGTAGGCTGAATCTCAGTCCCAGAAATACTAGCTTTTGGGTCGTTCAGGCAGTATCTGTCTCAGTACACTCCAGCATGTCCAGGGCCTTCCCCAGCACTGGAACATAACCAGTCCTGGGAATAAAGTTTTACAACACTCCCTGGCATGAATTGAGCACCCTCTTCTTTGTCTTCTACCCCAGATAACTCCTGCATGTGTTTAGCAATTAGGTCGTGCCATCTCTATGGGCACCTTGGATGCAATGTCCCTCTGTTTTGGAGACTAAGATAATTTACCAGCACAGATGTGGGCTGCTCCATACCAGCTGGCTGCAAGGCTGGGAACACCGCTGGGCTCCTTTACCTTACTAGTATAGAGGGAGCTTTAGTACACCCGGGTCTTTACTCCATGGCCTGTACCCACCTCTAGTTTGCTTACACCACTCAGCTTTTCAGACTACTCTTCCAGACACTCATTTCAACTGGAGACTGACAGCCCTGGCTGCACCCACAGTGCTGGACAAACTTCCCCAGTGCACGCACACCCACACACCCGCACACACGCACGAAGATTTGCCAAGCACGCCTCAGCCCTGACCTTCTTCAGCCCCAGCTCTTCCATCCCCAAGTCCTCCCCGAGCACAGGTCACCGGGTTGGCCAAGGTGGGCTAGCAGCCGGGCGCCTGATGCCCCAAGGAGCCGCGTGGCTCGGAACAAGGTGCAAAACCACCCGGGAAGCATCGCCGGTGACCTGGGCACACGGGGCTGCTGGGGAGAAGCGCTGCCCCGCTGTGCCACCTAAGCCCCTGGTGATTTGCAATCCACTCACTGTTGTAGCTGCTGCCGCTGCTAGTCTCTGCCGGTGCCGTGCCTTGTTGAATCGGCCCTTCCGAGGCGGCCCTCCCTGACAGTGAATGGGAGGAGAAAAAAAAAGAGGAGGGAAAGGGAGGGGAGGGGAAAGGAGGAGACATGGGAGGACGAAAGATGGTCAGAAAAGGGAGAGGGAAGAATCTTTAACTGAACTTTGACTGGCTGTCGCATCCTAAGAGCTCATCGGTCTGGAGGCACAGGGAGAGCAGTCCCCATAGCCCCGCTGCTCCTGCATCCGAAGCTCGGTACCTCCAGCCGTCCTGCAACGCCAGGGTCACACGTCGGAAGGTAGGATCACCACACCCTGTTATGTCTTACTGCTTACAAGTAACAGGGGTCTTAGTCTCTTTGTCAAATCCATTTGGAAACCTCGGTTGAGAGCCCTGCCTTCTCTCGGTCAATGCATTTCTCTTCTGACATCCGCTCTGCAGCCTACCCCCACCACAACCTGCACGCAGACACAGCCAGCCATGCTCGGCAGAGGCTGACGGGTGTTCCTGTCACGCTGCGGTCCCACAGGCAGCGTAGGGACCAACCGACCCCGAGGGCAGATCCCCATCCCAGAGTGGTGTGTCACGTAACTGCTCATCAGCCATCTGCAACCTCAAAAAGACCCAATATGGGAAAAGGGACTCTTTGGCCCAACTTATGCGCAGTGCATGCAAGAGCGTGTTCCTCACACCCTCCTGGTTACAACGGAAAGCCATGTCAGCGTACAGCAGATGAACCTCTCACATACCACAAGAGCAAAACTGCACAGCAAAACAACCTACCGTCCAGAGGAGATTTCTCTTCTGCATTCTTGTCTTCCTCTGCCAGCATGACCTCCTCTGTAAAAGGAAAAACAGCGAGGTTCAACCTTAGATTTATCACATCCCTGCTCTAAAACCATCTGAGCTGGATGCAACAGGCATCTGTCCCAACTGCCATCAACCTTACCACATTGTATCACACAGTTACACCAAGTCTGTGTAGGAAGGAATGGCTCAGAGATGTGTTTTTCACCCTGTGCCCCCCCTCTTGCACAGGGGGAGGAGGCCAGACAAACCACTGGAAGACTGTAGCACTTATTCCATAATTTCCCTCTTCACAATCAACCACCCACTGCATTTTTTTTACCCAACCATCATCCACAAGGGACTTCTGGAGACCAAGAACCTTCCTTCAGACCCAAGCATGACCACAGGTCTCCACAAACCACAGGATGGTCCCTCATGCCCAGCCACTTTGGAGAGAGTGTTTGAGAAGTGAAAGATGCTCTACACCCATTGCTGCTCTTCTGTCTCTATCAGTAAGACCAGGACTCAGCCCATGGGGAATGGAGCTCTGCCTCATGGCACAGGGCAAGACCAGCAGGGCCAGCTGCTGCGTGTCAGCTGTGCCACATCACAGGGGACAGAATATCACCAAATATCCATCATATCAAATCTTTGTCCAAATAAAATCCACAGCAAAGTTTCCATGGGGGAGTTCCGGCTACCACAGCTCAGGTTGTGCAACATGTGTGAGAAACACCACCACTGATTTTCCATCCCTGTGTAAGTCATCTCCAAAATACACATTTATACTTTCCTACAGTAAAAGAATTCAGAAAACACTGAAAAAAACAACCTCCTAGAACTGACTTATTTCTATCTGCATGAAAAACAACCAAATTTCTTGAGGTTTCACAATGCAAATGTCATCACTCAAGTCAATTTGCAGCATACATCACACTGTGCCAATACTGGAAACCATACAGTTCATACAGTCTAAACCACAGATTCTAGCTTGATGCTGTAAAATTATGTGAGAATTTTCTGAAGGACAATCTAAAGCAAACAAAATATTGAGTTGGCAGCTGGTAAACTGTACACTTTCTTGTATTACTATGAATGACAAACTCTTTCACATGCTTGGCACAGATGTAACTTTGGATCTTACTAAAACATCTGACACTGTGTTTCCACAAAATTTTGCTTTAAAGTCAATTTAAGCCAGCCTAGATGGAAATCTAACTAAAAAAAACCCCACAAAATACCAAACGAACCACAGGCCAAACATCAAAGTATATAGCTGAAAGCCATCTAGAAGAATACTAGAGGGATCAGCACTACCACACAAGCCTTATGTAATGTCTTTATTAATCATCTGGGAGAGGGAGTGAATGATATATTAATAAGACAGCAAATTAAGAGGGCTGAAAAATAATATCCAGGACTGAGGAAGACTGGAAAACCAAGCAGAGGAGAACAAAGTAAGAATGTGCAAACTAGTGCATCAGACATAGGGAGGAAAGGAGAGCCACAAGAGTGTTAAAAATGACAGGTGAGCTAAAAGTCTGCACTTTAAAAGGCATGAAATACTTCCAGAAACCCACAAGCCAATACAATTCAGGTGTCTTCCAAGGCTTCTTAGGACAGGCCAGAAAAGTGAAATGGGTTTTTTTAAGCAGTTCAGGAGACTTCTCTGGCAAACTGGCACCTCAGAAGCAAAAGTTTCTTCTGAAGTCTTGCCTAGGGAAAAGCTGTATGGGGGCTAAAAATATGGAAAGAGTTAAATGGCAATTAACAACAAATATGACTGCCCTAAAACACATAGAAGGAATGGTTTAGATATGAAGACCCCTTCCCAAAGGCAGATGGACAAAAGGCCTGCAAATGTAAAACAAAAAGCAAACCTGTGTTGGAAGGAGTATGAACTTGAGATGCTATTATACTGGACACTTTCCTATTGATTTTTTTTTTTTAAATCCTACATTGCTCATGGAGTGTGATTTTAAAAGCTTTATGACATATCTGAAGGTGATATACCTACATTGCTGCACAGGGCTCTGCATACAAAGAAGTCTAGCTCCTAGCCCAGCAGAATCAATAGTGCCACGCAAATGTTTCTGCACTTTTTTGGATCTGGGGATTAGTTCAATCATCAGTACTTTGGGGTTCTCCATTTTGTGCTCCTCTGCACAATGCAGATATGGGCTTTTTTCTATGCTATGTGCTAGAAAATTGCAGTGATATTTCAAAACCATTTGGAGTAGAGTGTACATTTAGGTCTCGCAACAAAGAGCAAGCATGGGAAAGTGAGCTTATCCCAAAGGAGCCCTTCTGCCACTCCCGTAAAGAAAAGCTGACTTTTAAACACCATTTGATAATTAAATGGACTAATATACGCTACTGCGGGGAGCAGAGACAGTGCCATGCAGGTGGTGAGCAATGAAAATAATGAGCTAGCAAAGGTCAGAAGACAGGCAGTTGTTCTTCAGGGGCTCACACACAAACTGGTCAGTGCTCTGAGGGTTGCTGGTTTCAGTCACGTCTTATTAAAAAAACCCAAAAACATTCCAGGAAAGAAAGAGCCTATTCACTTCACTGGAAACTCAGTTCTGTGCTTCATTCGTATCAGTGCAGGAGGAAAATCATTGTGTTAGTTCCTTTCAAAGATCTCCAAGTAGGAAAAAGAAATTCATCTTTTCCCCTGTTTCTGAGTGGCATCTTGTTTTGCATGTTCCTGTAACAATTTGTCATGACTCTCCACTGTCTTTTAGGCAGCAAGGGAGGAACATTCCTGAGTCCCCAGATCACCTCTAGGGACTGTGAACTGTACGGATGTATCATCATCATCATCACAATTTGCAATGTTTTACTGATGCCATCTGATGTTCCAGTGTCACCTGTGTCCCCGGTCAGACTGATGAGAAGTTTAGCCATACTGAGGTTTCAGAAACCAAATTGATCAGTGCCAGTGGGATCTCAGAACTTGTAAGGTGTAACAATTTGGTATCAATGTATTTTCACCTACAAAGTACACACTCTTCCAAGACAACTCTGCAAACCAGCTGAGTCTTTGCCCCAAATTCAGGGCCCTGAGTTGGTGTCCAATCACATCTCCATCCACAGACATATCTCACCAGGGCTCAGTTTTACTGTTCCCTTAAAATAAACAAACCCCAAGATTCACCTATGCAATTCCCTCAAGCCCAACTCTCTTCTACTCTTGCTCCCTATTTCTCTCCCTTGACATCTTGTATCCTCTGGGAAACCAAAGGACCACATCTACCCTAGTGGGGCTTTACATGGTTTTAAAAACCTACATGGTTTTTAGCCTACTAAAAAGACAGTTCAGTGGGCTAGTCATCACTGCTAGGATTTTTTTTATTTTTTTTTTTTAACCATACAGCATCCTAAGCAGAGGATCAGAAGTTGCATTTCCTTTAGTCATCACTGTAACACAGAGACTGGAAGAAGATAATTAGAATGCCTGAAAAACCTCCAAACAACAGTGCCTCTACATTAGAAGAAATATTCAACAAAGAGACAGTATCAGATCAGCAACTTCTAGCCTCCAAACAAAGGCACAGGGGCTTCGCTAGGATATCAGAGACATGTCTCAGCAGTAAGATTAATTGCTGAACATTAAGTACTGACAACACACAGCATGTTACAAGACTGGAAATAAAGGCAAACCTTATACTGAAGAACTGGCAAGCTGAACAATATAGGCAAAGCAGCAGAGAAACTTAGTGCCCCTTCTCTTTCTCTTTGGCATGGGGAGATAGGATATTGTGGGCTCAAAAGGGCAGATTACAGGAAATAATTCACATTCAACAGGCAACCGAAGTTAGAAAAAAGGAAGAACAACTGAATTTAACTGTTGAAGCTTCAGACTTGTTAAATAGAAAAAAGTGAATAAAAATGCATCGCTTAGAAGAAGCCATCACGCTCTCATGGGGAACTCTAATTTGTCTTTCTGGCAATTATCCTCCCTTCCCATCTCACACACATTGCTGTCCTTTTTCATTGACGTAGGTATCTTTTCCAAGCTGAATCAAGGGGATTGTTGCTCTGTTTCTTCTACAGAAATCTGAAACCTGAGGTTCATAAAGCTTTGTCATATCAAGGAATGGCATTCAACCTACAGCGAGCTAGAAGAGACAGATTAAACCCGTCCCTAAAGCCTGCTTACTCCAGGCGAAAAGAAACAGAATCAGTGCTGTGTGAAAGAGATGGACTTGGAAAGAATTAAAATGCAAAAGACATGCAACTTGATTAGCTCTGAACTGAAAGACTTTCAGTTTCCGAGCAAAGTGTTTTCAAAATGATGCATGTCCTTGTAAGATAAGAGAAACATCTTCAAAAGAATATTTGTGGGCTTATAAGCGCTTTACTCTGTGCAGAGAACTTCTAGTTCTCCACTCTCCATTGGAAATGCAGCATGACAGCCTAATAGTTGCTACAGTTTTGAGGAGTTTAATGGAAAAAGCAGCGGTGGCAAAATCATTTGCATGGATTACATTGCTTGGCTTCACCACTTTTTAATTCCTCTGAAAGGCACAATTTCAAATTGACTTGCTACTTTTGCACAGAGCCCAAGGAAAACACAAAACAAAAAGCAGAGCCTCTCCCAGCACACAGGGGGTGAAACAGGAGAGGGTTTGCTCGTCACCAACAAGACTTTATTTGATATTGGTTGAACTGAAGAAGAGGCGTTTGGGGAAGAGAACTGTTGTCTCGTGCCTAGAAGAGCAACACAGTACAAAGTATTGCTTTTTACACTTATATCAGCTGACTTCTAGTGGTGGGAGGAGTTGGTCTCTTTAAAGAATCTACTAAAAAACAGACAGTTGCCTTTATTCTTCATGATTAAATTCAAGATTACAGGTCTGTTTCTAACTGATCCATACCGTTCTCTTATAAGTGACACAAAGAATCAATGTTTAGGAGCTTGAGATGGCAATTACCTTAAAAATTTACAATTTTTTGGCCTAAATTCTGTAAGATGCAAGAAATTATAGGATTTGATCACTGTTTCTGGCCTGCAACTCACACTAGTTTTACAAGATTGAAAATCTTACAGATTTGAAGACACGGTTTTATAAGTCATTTAAGGCACCATGACATTTCTTCTTGACATCCTCCAAAAGACTCTACTGAGTTACAATTTTCCTTGCTTTGTCTTGCCCTCATAATATGGGAATTTTACATGATATCACATGTTATCTCATTTCAAAATATTGAAAACCTCCTAACTACGCTATGAATTCATTCTTCAACATGCACCTCAGGAAGAAGTAAAGCTAGAAACTTCATACCTGGCCTCTGTATAATCCAAAGTGAAGAAAGTCAATTCAAACTCTAAGGAAATTGCTCAGACCGTGGGTTGATTTTTTTCTTTTGAGTAATTCAGTCCTTCAGCACATTATCTGTGTTATAATTTTCGCTTTCATTACCCAACCCTTTGTTAAGAAGGCATTTGTTAAGCACTTCATCAATTAAGGCTTCCTGTATTAAGTATAACTCACACAAGTATTTGCACATTAGGGTTGTCACTGTTTAAAACACCTTGCTATAGATCCCTCAAGCAGATATGCTGCTGCCTGTATTAAACAATTCACATTTAAAACAGCCTGAGCTATGTTTGCTTCAGTTTCAACCACAGCTGCACTTCTGGTGATTTATCAATAGTGAGCTGGCACCAAAATCTTTCAGCTGTGCCAGGGTACCTCCTTGAAAACTTCACAAGCACTTTTATTAATAATTTCTTCCTTTTTATATGCTTATTTTACTACTGGAAAAAAAATTGAAAGTACCACTAGAAAAAAAGAAAAATGTAAAAGTCAGTTACTCAAGAGCCCGGCTACTAAAGAAGTTTCATTCTTACAACACAAATGTAAGACAGGTCATTAGACCAGGTCTGGAACATGCTCAGACAGCACGTAAGAGGTAGAAAACAAAGACTCATTGTTTTCTTCTGGAAGACTAAACAATTTGCAATTTCAGTATAAGAAAGGGTTGATAGCAAACAACACCAAAATTTTATCTGAACCACCTTTTTAATGCAATATGTGCATCAAGAGATAATATAGCATCATTCAGATTACAAAGAGAAGGCTGTGAGAAACATTAAAAACAATCAAGAGGGGTCAATAAATGATGAGCACAACATTAAATTAAAATAATTTTTGACAAATGAGAGGTAGAATACAGATGAAGGAGTGATTTTGGTCACTCAAATACTTTCCTCAGTCCTAAACCAGTTACAGTCCTTGAGGTAAAAAATTAAGTACTACTGAGAACAAGGAAAGCTCCTTTCCAGCTCCAGCAACTACTCAGAACATGCAAAACAGAACAAAACCAATCAGATTAAGTTGCTACTTTATAAATTGCTGGAACACAGCTTTCCACCGTTCCTACCAGGCATCGGAAATAAATGAGAAAAAGATACAAAATGCTCAGGAAGGATACTACAAATATTAGAAGCCTGGAGAGACTTCCATAGGAAGAGAGGGGATTGAGTAGATTGGTTCTGCATGCTTCGGAGCAGTGAAAATAAATTGAAACAAGGTAGAGAGAGATCAAAGAAAGAAAAGTAGTAACAAGAAATATGAAGTGCACTCCTGAGCTCTTCTTCTTTCTCACTGCAGAAAGACAATGGACTTAAAATCGAGGACAGGACATACTGTGGTGGGTTGTGTTTCTTTTTTTTTTTTTTAAATCAAACTAGCTGTTAACATGTGGAACTCCTTGCTACAAGATTCAATAGGTCAAGGATTCTAGAAGAATATTAAAACAATTAGATATTTAGACAAATAATAACAAAATCCTCCAGTTACCTTAGAGCAGAATACCAAGAGCTTTTGCTCTTTCTTTTATGTAAACAGCTTATTACATCTCACTGCCTGGGGCTGTTGCAAGAGATTCCTGTACATGCTGGACTGTCCGTGAACATCACCTCCCTGGCTCTTTTCCTCCCCCCGACCCAAGCAGTTTGCTTTGGCCACTGTCCCACACACAGTCCTGGACAAGAAAGACTGACTATCTAGTTTGGAAATTCGTGATCATTTCATAGCTGAAATCTTGGCCTGTAAAACAGAAATGGGAAATCCTCATTGACAGCACAGTCCCAAATTTCATTCTACCTTTTGTATTTAAATATTTACTAACACCGCTAAATTGATTTTAATTATTGTTACTATTCATCTGTACTAGGAAACTTTTTTTATATTGCTATTGTATTTTCAGCAATACCTCTACAGAATATTTTTATTATTCCCTGATTCAGCTATTTTGTATATACTTTCCTGTTCTAGAAAACTTCCTGAATCTTGTGCTATTAGACAAAATTAAAAAATGGGCATTTTACAGCAGTTTCACTCTACACTGATGTGACATTTATTCAGCCCTGGCAACACAGAAATAGAATAGCCAGACATTCCCACAGGGATGCAAAGTTGGAGCAGAGATTGGCTGTATGCTTCATAACTTCTCCACCTCAACTTTCAGACAAGTTCAGCTAATGACCTGTGCATAGCTCTTCTTGGCAGAGCAGTCACCAAAATGACTAGAAGCAACCCACACCCCTGCAAGGGAATTCTCATCTTTATTTTACTGATGGGGAGATCAGGATTTAGAGACTGAGAAATCACAAAAACCTGAAAAGCAAAACGGCACTAGAGCCAAGGGCGAACCACGGTGCACTGTGCTCCAGCCACTGGATAAACCGTCAATTAATTTGAATTTGAGGTAGCACAAAAGCTGTAAACAAATGGAAAGACAAATTATAAATGGAAAGTGAATGGTTCTTTTTTTGAATCCTACAGAACCACAGAATGAAGTGTGGTCACCTAATTGAGGACAGTTGCTGTTGAACAGTCACAGTGAATAAAAGTCCGTCAATACAACCGGCACTCGATTGTCACTCTGTACGGCACTATGGGAAATAATGGGTTCAATCTGCCATACGAGCTGCTGCTACTTCTTCTTATCCTACATTTCAATGCTCCGGTCTTTTTTCTCTCTGGCCAGGTTGTCAAAACACATGCCCTGCCCACTGCCCTGTGGGGAGGTCCCGCAGCCGCCCCCCCTGTGCCCCCGGGGGACCTCCCCTGGGCGCATCGGCTGGCAGAGCTCTGCGGCGGAGAAAGCAGAAGCAAAGCAGCGGGAGCCATCTGAAAATGCTTTTGCAAACACCGGCACCCAGGTTGTGCACGTAAAACAGAAACTGTAGATCCAGACAAAGAGCCCCTTATGCACAGCAGAGCACCAGGATGCTCCGGCACCCATCTTGGACACAGCTTTGAGTGTGCAGTGCTGCAGTGAATTGCTGTGGCTATACAATTACTTGCTTGCACAAACACATTTTAGCACATCAGGCCACTAGCATCAGTACGGATTTCAAACCATGGCTTAGGAGCACCACAGAGTGCCAAGTTCTGCTATGGACTATGGGCTGATGTCAGGCAAGTCACTATATAAAGTTGGACCTCAGTTTCCCCCCTTTCTAAAGGGCAAGGATGAAGTTGACCTGCCTAGAAAGACACCTGAAAATCTCTTCGAGAAACCACCACTTATTTTTTTCCTCATCACTGTTTTAAAAGGCATTTTCACTTTACTCAGATGTTTCAGCTTCTCAGAAAAGCAAGCAAGGAAGCAAACCAGCCCCAGAAGTTTTCTTGATGTTATGTGAATGAATTGCACTGTGTTTATGTCAATATATATATATATGTATCAGCTACTCTATAACGCAGAAAGGTTATTGGCAATCTTTACTGTTCAATAAAAAAGAAAAGAAAAGCATGGTATTTTTTGTTAAATGAGTGTGTTTGGGTCCTTGTTAAAGTTGCTCGTGGCTTACAATAAAGTGCAATGTTCAGTTATAATAGTTGTAGAGCAATGTTAATATGTGCTGGGGTGAGTTCCATACAAGCGATCTTTGTAGCTCATAAAAATGACACTCCAGTGTATTTTACCATCATAGCAAGAGAGGCTTATAAAACAGCTGTGGTGGAAAGTAAATAAAATATAAATGACTTATATAAGGGAACAGTTTCTCCACTGTGGAGACTTCGGGCACTGTATCACTTTTTATACTGTACAGTATTAAGACAATTGCTTTGATCTCAACAATAAAGAAAGTTGGCCCAGCTCCTTTATTTTTGCTTAACCAAACTGAGATCTTCTGCAATAACTTTATTGTGACTGCTCAGAAACAAGCCCAACAAAACCAGTAAGTGCTGGCTGGGCCCTCTCTAGTCTTGGGTTACCTCAGTGGCCAGCAATGAGGAGGACTAGTTCTGGGGCCCTTGTCCACTGTCATCAGCAGACTCTACTTGCCACAAAACATACTGAACCAAGACCAGGAGATCTCTTGCCTTACCTGCTTTGAAGATCCACTCCAAGTATCCATTTAGCTCCCGTTCAATTTGCTGCTGCCTACGGAGTTTCAGGAAAGCTCGACGATTTTCTACCCTCTCTCGTTCTTTGGCAAATTCACTATGGAGAGAGAGGAATGAGAAAGCACATGTCACAACTGGTCAGGGAAAATATACAGCCCATATTTTGTCTTTCAGATTGTATTCACAAAGTTTGTGAAGTCAATGACAGCAGTAGCAGGTAGAAATAGCATGCTACATGTTATTGTCCAAAAAACTACTACATGATTTATAGCTCTGCTGTTTCTCTGCCTCTCTCATCCAGAAAGAGAACTGAAAAATGCCATGTGCACACACTTCTTTTCTTCTAGGGCCACGTGTTCTAGGGCCATTACAAGATTACGATGCGCAACCACATACACTTGGCCAGTCATACAATACAAATTATCCCCAACACTAAAAACTGCCCTCCACCTCTCTCCACTCCGCAGAATTTCCTCTAGGAGCACAATATTATGTCACAGACACCAGCACTCTTTTGGTGTTGGAAGAGATCTACTCTTCCCCGTTTGCCTTTCTTTGTGTTTTCCCAGGCTTAAGATGACTTTGACAAACATAAGTCAAATGAGAGCTACAAGTGAGATGGGTACACTGAGGTCAAGGTGAAATAGTCCAGGTGCTCTGGGCTGAGGGTAACAATGATCCTGCGATTTGCTAAAATCACATGGAAAGCAAGGATCTTGATATCAGATCATTAGAACAGAACTGTACAGGGAGGTCAGAAAGTAAGGCTCATCCAACCATTGCAAAAATCTCTTGCCCGAGTACATCCTAGTTTGAAATGATGCTGAGACAATAGTGTAGCCACCACCCCAAGACCTCCATGCTGATGCTTTCCCCAGGCTAATTTATATCGCCTCTGGGAAGCTTCTGATGTCCCATCTGGAGATGTACATGCTCATCTACCATGTAGGGAGCTCTGAACCAGCCTCTGCAACACCTCGCTGTGAGCACACACTGGAGTGACTCCCACAATAGCTTAGCCTATATGGTTAAATGTGGGATCAGGCTTTTGTCCCTCATGTACACCAGCGGTTCACTCACTCTCTCATTTGACATCTTAACTCTGCTGCCTCCTTCAAATCTTCAGTTCACTGTGAATTGTTGCAAACCTGTCGTTAACCACTGCTCTTGACCAAAATCGCACCTAATCACCTGTTCATTACCCACACATGTTCCTCAAAAGCCAGCAAGGAGCAGAGAGGAGGAAGGCAGAAGAATGGGGGGAAAAGGAGGCGCAAGTGTCGGCTTTTATATTCACTGTCTACACTTCATCCTTCAAAGCTGACACTTTTGCTTCATTTGGCAGGGCTGTCTGACCCACGGAGAAGGGACTGTGGGGAGGAGTTGGCTCAGCACTGCAACACACACTGGTACCAGCCACTGATATGAGAGCTGCCATCAGCTGAGCCGTTATCTCAATTTTTGCAGCGCATCCCAGTCTCCTGACTCCCCTCTCCTGTTCCCCACCTGACAGCACAACCCATGACCCCATCCTTGAAACGGGAAGCCAAAACATCGTTCTGAACCAACAGCTCCTCCTCGGCATTCAGCACGTGTCTGCCGGGTGATTCGGAATCCTGCACGTGTCAGCTGGATCGCCGATTTTCTCCCTCTTCCTTTTTAATGTTCTCATTTCTGGTTCAGTGCCTGTTGGTTGGGGCCACAGACCTCCTCTCAGTTTTGATTTCTCTCTGGAGCGGGAGGAATGAGATCAGACAGCACAAGGTGACAACATGCATTTGAATTGCCAGACGTGGAGGGGCCACGCTTCCTGCCTTACAGGCTCATGTCACCACAAATTTCCCCGAGTTGGGCTGCGCCAGAGGGGAGCAGGAGGCAACAACAACCCGGAGGGGAGCTCCACGAAGGACCACAGCAGGCAGAAGGGCAGCAGATGAGCTGTGGCACCGCTCCCTCGCCCCTCGGGCAAGCAAGGGAGAGCTATTCTTGCAAAGCTCTTCATCCTCTGCCAGCTCTTATCTGGCCTAAGGACAGTAAAAGCTACCTAGGACTTGTCCCTTTAATCTCAACTTTAAACATGCAAGAAAATGAGAGAGAAACTGTGCTAAGTTGCAAACCTTCCGTAGTTTCTGTATAGCCAGGCATGTTTTTCACAAGACACCAGTGAGGAATGTTGCTGAGATTAAAGCCACCTGCGTGCTCCTGTTCCCAAGGGACAGCAGGTTTGGCATGGCCATAGAGGCTGGGAAGGCAACTTCCAGGAGAAAACAGTACATTGGGTCTCACCAAATGGCTTTGGAATGTTAGAGAGCTGTAGCAAAAACATCCAGGTTGAAGAATGAAGGGTGTTGATGCATGTTCTTCCTGGTATATTAATGCATTACTTGCTCTTTCTCCTATCTCCAGGAGAGGGGTTTGACAAAGTCAGAATTTGTCAAAAGACTCTGTTTTTCTTTATGAAATGTATTAATAAAAGCATGTGTCTCTCTTCCACTACATTCATCACCATTCAGAAACTGAAATATTCCCCGCTTTGCAGCAACTGGAAAACTCCCAGAATTTCTGTTTGAGAGCTTTTCAACAAAATTTCAGAACATATTCAAAGAAAAGGGGGGGGGGGGAAATATAACAAAATGCCATATTTCATCTAAAAATATTTCAGCTGAAGTTTTCCTGCCAGAAAGTCCCATTGGAATGTTTGGTAGCAGTAAATAAGTTTCCTCTTTTATTCAACATAATTGCTATTTATGCCATTGACTTGCAAAAATCTCCCAAATCACCAGAAAGTCAACCTGAGCAAGAAATATGCTGCCTCCTGCCCAGCTTTATCTCCAGGACTTTCTTCATAGCTGGTCCTCCACTCTTTGGCCAGTTCTGGACTGAGTAATAATGTTCACCCATTCTCATCCTTGGCTCTTGTCAACCTCCACATGCCCCCAAACCCCTCCAAAGTATTAATCTTTCAGCACTGGCCAGATAGGCATTAAGAGGAGGAAAGCTGAAAGGTCAGTACTCCTACATGCAGCACAGCAACAAACACTGTTTTGGAGGAAGCCGAGCTCTGCCTGGGTAGATGTCTACAACACATTTTAGTTACAACATGACAGTTGTGAATAACTGATTCTATAGAGACATTAGGAACAAAGAGAAATCAAAGAAAGAGCATTCATCATGGAAACCACATGTTATCCAGTCAAGCTCAATGTGTCACATTTTTCTTCTCAAGAGTGGTCAGTACTTAAATTCATCAGGAAAATGGATGATTTTTGCTTATCACCTTGATGGGTAGAAGAGTGAAATAAATCTCAGTGTAAATATGCACTGAAATAGCCACTTCAGGGAAATTCAAGAGTTCCCCCAGCCACAAAAGAGACAAGGTCAACCTATGAGTAACCACTAGGGTCAATAAAAGATTATAAGCCAATGAAGTTCTTACAAGTACTTTATCCATGCTATTCTTAAATTTAAAAATACTGTCACAGCAACCAAAAAGGAAACAAAATAAATAAATAAACCACAACCTTCATCCTTTGAGTCTGTGATTAATTTTCCTATATGACAGCAGAGAGCTGAGATGGAGCATCATGTAATGCACCTCCTGGTCTTGGGTTTCATGGCACAGTCCCAGGGCCAGCAACAGCAGGCCTGCTGCAAGACTAATCACACCATTAAACCACTGCAATTCAGGTTTTCTGCTTAGAAAGCAGACAGAAACACTTCCCACTCACAGAGAAGAGGCAGAGAGAGATGATATAGCATTACTGTCATTGCTACCACTAATAGTGCTGATGATTAGTGATTCGTAATAACAACATAGGTAATTAGCTCCTCATTCAGAATAATATCACTGAGCTACACATGATCTCATATCTTAAAATGGGAGAACAGCCTTCATGTATTGAATCCAAAATAGTGTTCAGAGTGAGCAGAAAGAAGCACAGATCTCAGAACTCCTCCATCAGGGACTCCTGGAAAGCAGCTGTAAAGAACTTTTAAGAATTTTAAATCTAAAACAAACAAAAAAAAAAGTCAGTTTCAGGATTGGCTTCATTTCCAGTCCAAGTACATCAAAGGAATGAGTAAAGTTGAGCCTGGATGGCACGTGATATCTAGGGACATAGTCCTGCCTGGAGAAATGCAGCCCTCAAGAATGGAGAGGAGCCAGGTAATTCAAGTGGGAGAGCTGCTGGCGAAGGCACCAGCCAGGACTGCAGATGTTTGAGTTACTCACAGGCTGAAACAAATTCTCCAGGTGGAGAAACAAAATTGGCCAAGACAGGAGGCTTAATTTGTAAGCTTTGTTGCTTGAACATGGAGCAGTGCCCAAGAACAAATCTGATACTTGTCAGCAGCCTGTTAAGCAGCCCACGTCACTGAGGAGCAGGGAGGGACAGGCTGGAGGTAGAAGATGGAAAACAGCAACTCCTCTGGCTGCCCAACATGCAAGTTGGAGGAGCATCACTGTGGGAAATATGTGCTGGAAGACTAACAGTGGTACAAAATCATGCATGTTGTGCTTCTCGTGGGCTGCCTGGATGAAGAGAGGTGAAGCATCAAAAATTCCTCTGTTTCAGTCTACCCCTTTTAGAACCAGCAAGGAGGGAACCTCAGAAGAAACTTGGTGCCAATTATCCATCTCACTTTCAGCAAGCTTTCAGCAAGAGCAACACTGAGGTAGGAAATTCCATAAGAGGCTGCAAAGGGACTGCAGAGATGAGAACGTGCACTTGTAGCACCCCAGGAATATGAACATCCTGGATGATAAGAGAGGTAAGATGACCACAAATCTCTGCGTTTTTCAGTAAACCCAAATCTCTTGTTTTCTTGGCAGGCTGCAAGGACTTGCTCAGAGGCTATACGTCACTCACGAGATCCTCCAATGCCCTAGGGTAACTTCTCAGCACAGGGACTGCACACACCTCCAACCCTCCCAGCATCCTGAGAGCATCCACATGCAAACAGAAACACTTAATTGCATTTTAAGGGTGGAAGTCCATCTCCTTTCATTTATTCTGGTTAATCAACTGTGAGAAAAAAACAGAGAAAGAGCCTTCAGTCAATTTTCCCTTTCCCTCTCAGGTCTCTTTCCAATGCTGG